GCCTTTTGCCACTCGAAAAGCTTCGCAAACCTCACATACTGGAGCGTCCTTCATTGCAGAATTTAGAAAACGACAATTTAAAAACAGCAGGAAATAAAAGAAAACTCTTACGTTGCAGAAACAGTGGTAACCAATTAAAAGAAAAAGGTTAAGAATGATCGGCATAATCGGAGAATCATGTGGGTGGAACAATTAATGGAACTTCTAAACACGTTAAATACTGGATTGAAGATGAAATGAGATAGCTTATGGAGTTTGTAACATAGATTTGCCATACCAAAAACATATGCATAATATTTGAGCCTTTAGCTCACGAAGTATCACAATAATAATATAATACTAGCATATACATGTCATAGCAGTAATAAACACATATTCCAGGCACTGACAACAATAGTGTGGCAAACATCTATTGAGAGGACAAATAGGAATTACGTATAGTAAGGCTAAAATTTACTGTGAAAAATGCACCCTAAAGAATCAAGATTTTGTACACGAAGCAAACATCACCAGTTCAAGAGCAGACAATGCCAAGAAGCATCCATGAAAATTTCCCAATCTGGCTCAACATGAACAATGATTGGTGTTACTGCATAAACGAAATGTAAATCAGATGCAATCATGAAGCCTTCTCTGGCCCTTGAAAGATAATCCAGCACAATCTATGAGATAAGTCAAATAAATGTACTTGATGTGAGCACCACAAATCCTTTTATTCCTACCCTCAGGGATCTGATCCAAAAATAAAGTTCTCATAAAAAAGATACAATGCTGAAAACTGCAGCACTATCAAATAACTTATTTGAAATTCAACAATATAAACAAAACAAACTTTACCAGTGACTCGGAATAAGGAACTGCCAAAAGCTGCACATCCAAGGGAAATAGTACCAAATAACTTGGTCTCATCATTCCATTTGAGAAATTTTTTGTGGCGCAGCCACCAAAGTGAATCCTGACCTGATTTCACCACATCATCAAATGGTTCTGTAGAATTAAGAAGACTACACCTAACACAGCGGTTAATGTCACTGACAGTTTAAACCATTCCACCAGCCACAACTTCAAGAATTGCATGAGTCATTCCATTCTTATCTTCAGATAAACATATTGCAATGGTGGCCAGCTTTCATTCAGAAATCCTTAATTCTTTTTATCTCTTCTGGCTTGCAAATAAGCACCAGTTTACATGAAAGCATTAGAAAGAAAAAACTAATTCAAAGCAAACAAACAATAAAAGCTGTTTCACATAAAATTAAAAATAACGTAAGAAAACATATAATAAATGAGAAGACAAAAACAGATAATCTTAAAACGTAGGTGTTGAAGTTTAACTCTGATAAATGAATGATCATTCCAAATATCAATGTCAGTACATGGCATCCAAAACATATATATGTTTAAAAAGGAGAATTGAAGTAACATAGTCTATAAGAACCCAAGACAAATCCAAAAGAAAATACAATTTATCTATCTCTACTATCTCTTCTCTGACTCCAAAGTACAATTTACCTATCTCTACAATCTCCGCTCTGACTCCAAAAGAAACACGATTTTGGAACTTTGCTACCACGCCTTCTAGGACGTGCCATCCTAAGCCTCTAAAAAAACACAGAAACCATTGGTGCAAACCTTCCAGCATTATCTTGTAAGGCTTGTACCATGCCTTTTGCCACTCGAAAAGCTTCACAAACCTCATCTATTGGAGCTCCATCATTGTAGAATTTAGAGAACATGAATTTAAAACAGCAGGAAATAAATGAAAACTCTTACGTTGCAGAAACAGTGGAAAACAGGTTAAAAGGAAAAAGCTTAAGAATGTCCTGCAGCATCAGAGAATTATTTAGGGAACAATTAATGGAACTTCTATAGATATTAAATACTGGATCAAAGATGAAATGAGATAGTTTCAAGGAGCTTGCAACATAGATTTGCCATGCCAGAAACAAATGCATAATATTTGTGCCTTTAGTTCACGAGGTATCCTAATAATCGTATGCAACTAGCACGTCCATATAATAGCAGTAACAAACACATAAACTAGACACCGACAACGATAGCGTGGAATCATCTCATTTATAAAAAGAAACTGGACCAATATTATCTCATTTCCTTTCTATTTAATTTAAAACATAATTGCTGACACTTAATTTTATCCGAATGAATTCAAGTGTTTTTTTATTTCCAGGCTTGATTTTAAGCGTTAGGCTCATTTAATATTTGTTTTAGATTAATAATTTTTGGATTATTTTGCATGAACATAATCCCAATAAAATTCAATTTTGAGTCACTTGGATTTCAAGACCTAATAAAAGTCCAAGTCAAATTTTTAGATCCAAACACCCATTCTACGGCCCATATTAAGTTTTAAAGCCCAATTTCATTTTTATTTTTATTACAGCTTGGTGGGAGACTCTTTCTCAGATCTTCCCGCTCCCCAAACTGCTTCACCATTCTCCGCAATGTGTGTTTTTTTTTTTACCTCCAATTTCACCTATTCACCTCTAACACCAATTCAGCAAACATTCCAAAACCCGATCTTCTTCCATCTTGCATGCCACAAGGATCCAAAGTTCTTAATTTCCTTTTCAGAACAAATGCAGCAAACAAGCCAGAACCCCACTGATCATCCCCATCACAAGCAGCTGAGATCAGACTCCTAAACCGCCAGCAATAAACCCAACAGCAACCACCCCTGCCTACTGCCGACACCCTCTACCTCCATCACCGAGACCGTTCAACCCCATTTTGCACGGCTACCATCAACAACCTCATAACTATTCCCATCTCCACCCTCCCTCAGAACCGAGAGTCACCAGCCGATGGCCCCACTCCCATTCGGCAACCATCACCGCCAAAAACGAAATTATCATATTATTTTCTTTCAAAAAAATTTATAAAACTTATAAAAAAAAATTTTAAATAGATCGTCAAAAATTTACAAATAAAACTTATAAAATAAAAAATAAAATTTTGATAATGAAATTTTTAATAATCATAAATTGATTATTATTTAAGATATTTTTAGATAATAAATTTTTTTTAATTTAAATTCAAATAATAAAAAAATTAGATATATTTGCAACAAAATAAAAATAAATGATTAAGTTTTTTCAACGATTGAATCTTTGAGAAAACAAATAAAATTTTTTAATATTCTTAAAGTAAGAATATATTTTTAAAAATTTTACTAAATTGATAAATACTTAATAACTATTTACCATTAAATTTATGATTTTATGATAATTTAAAATTAAATAATACCATCTTAAGATGGGTGCTATAGTCTTTTCTACACATAACCGAATTCTTGAATTGAATTATGAAATGTAGACTAAAACTTATTCTTTTATGAACCTTTAATCAAATAATAAATTTATTTAAATGATCAATTACACCTAAATAAAATATTGATAATGACTTTTTAGATTGTGTCTAATTATAAATCTATGAATCTAAACATTATGACATGAATATTACAAAATTTTGTCAAAATCTAATATGCTAAATAAAAAAATCTATCATGATAAATAAATGAAAAAACTTATTCAAATAGTTCAATTTAGTTATAACTATTATAAAATTTTTAATTATCAATATCAAAAATATATATATTTATTAAAAAAATAAATTTTAAATTTATAAAAAATTACATTTATTATTTTATCTTTAATTTAATTAAGACATTATAAGATTTTTTTTATTTGTAAGTTTTCTTAAAATTTCACTCTCTCCTTTTACAAAAATTAACTAATCAAAAAATTGTTTATGATAAGTTATATAAATTTTTTAAAATAGATTTTTAAAAGTCGTAAAACTTATCGAATATTAGTTTTAAGCCCGTGTTATGTGCTGGCAAACAAATTAATTATATTATTTTTACACACTATTATTTAAAAAGTAAATGATTAGTTAGTAAAAAAATAAAATTTTTATTTTAAAAAAATAACATATTTATAATTTTGATAAGAAATTGTATTTTCATATTGGAAATCTATGTGTGTACGAAGAGAGTGTGTACGAAGAAAGTTCAACTTACACCAATATAAATTTTTTTAATTTTATACTTTTTTTTAAAGTATTGATTTTAATAAATCCAATAAATGAGATTAAATCATTTATTTTCTACTTATATCTCTCATTTTTTAGATCTATTTAAATTAGTAACCAGAAAAATAGGTAAAATAGTGTAAAATTTTTTTTATGTAACTTGATCCTTTATATATATATATATATATATATATAATGGTGTACTTAGGAGAACTTAACCTCTTGATATCAATGCCAATTATCACTAAATTTCACCCGTATGTTTGTCTCAATATCCTTTTTATCAATATTCATTTAGTTTTTCTAAAAACAACCTAAATTTAATATCTAAACCTATGATTTCTTTCGTTCTTCCTCTTTCTTTCAATTCCTTTTTTTTTTTTTTTTCTTGTGTTACTTGTTTATTGTAATCGTTATTTGACGATTTTTCAACCATGATGGAGTGTTGTTATCGATCTAATTTGGTGATTTTGTGATCCATTTTTTTTTTTGAAAAATCACAAAACTATTAAAGGTAAAATGGGATTTTAAAGATGTTATGGTTTTCTAAGTTCCGTGAAATTGCCAAAAACAAGGCTGGCTTTGATCGAAATTTACCATTGGTCAAAAAAATTTTTTCCTTCTCATTTTTTAACCAAAAAAGAATGGGAAAGGATTATGAAATGGACATAGAATTGAATCTCAATTTCGAAAACCAAATACGAGGTAAGGGAAAAGAGTAGATGAAAAAGAAAAAAAAGGAGAGTGATTTATTTTTATTTTATATTTTTTTTTTCAAATTCAACATTTTGAAAATTAAAAAAATATTTTTTTATTATGATAAACGATGTGAACATGATAATTGATATGATAGTTAATGTACACAATCACGTCGATTTTTTATATTTTGAATGAAATTTATTAAAGTGATTATATTTGAGATATTTATAAAATTTTAGTATTTTGTTGGGATAAATAAAATTCAGTGACCAAATTAAAATTTTAGAAAAATTAGACGGGAATCGGGATCAATAAGGAAATTTACTCCGATATAAAAGTAAAATACTATTGAAAAAAAAGGACTGCTTTATTACTGCTGTCGCCGACTGCACTGAGGGGAAAGGTGAGGAGAAACAGGTCACAAGCACACATATAAATACGGTTATTAGAGCAAGAGGCGGAAGATTAAAGTCGGGGATAACGACGCAAAGGAGGACGGACATTAAGGTTGCTCTTGGCTAGGGTTTTTCCTTTTTTCTAATAGTAAAAATTAAAGCAAATTATCCTCACTCTCTGCCTCTTCTGAAATCGTAAGTTAATTTCCCTCCAAACTTTCTCCCTATCGAAGATTTGAGTCGCTATTTCTCACGGCATTGGAATCAATTTTAGGGTTTATTGCGGCTTTTGGTTTCCCCCGGATTGTAGTTTCTGATAATTTTATACATTAAGAAATTGTTTTCTTGGCAGTCATTGATGATATATTTTTTTCAAAGCTTATTGATATTCAAATTTTCGTCCGGTATCTTTTCCTAATTAATAATTTTGGGGAAAATATTTATTTGTACATATTGATTCCTTCCTTTTGTTTTCTCTGCAATGCTGTGTTTGCATGTTGAAAATATCCGCTATTTTTCTTGTTTCCAGGTTTTGTTATTATGGTAGAAGCCACTGAAATCGAGAACCTTGAATTTAAGTGGGGTAAAAAAAGAGGAATTGGTGGGAAAAAGAAAGATGTTCAGTTTTATGAATCGTTTACTTATGATGGCCTCGACTACACTCTTTATGACAATGTTTATCTTCACAAGGAAGGCGAGCCATTGCCTTATCTGGGGAAACTTATAAAAATATGGGAGAATCCCGATAAATCCAAGAAAGTGAAGGTTTTATGGTTTTTCCAACCTTTTGAGATCTCGAATTATCTTGTAGTTGAATTGACACATCCGAATGAAGTATTTTTGGCATCTGGTGAAGGAGTAGGCCTTGCCAACGTTAATCCCTTGGTAATTGGAAGTTTATAAATTGTTTCAGTACTTTATCTTTGATTTTCTGAAAGTCAAAAGTTGTAGTTTATTTTTGTGCAGTGACTTGTAATGTTACAGTTTGACTTGGTGAGTTTTTGTATTGACTGACAGCAGTTGTATTATGTTTTCTTCTGCTTTTTATTATGGAAAGACTTTGAGCATGAGAATCTGAAGGGCTTTCCATTCATTTAACGAGTCAAGTGTTAATTTCCCCTTTTCGATAAGCTGTTAAGATCTTGTGAAATTTCTTGCATGAAGTAGGTAGATCACTACTGGACCGGAACTTGTGTGTCAATGCTAAGAGTTTTTAACTTTCATGATACTTTTGACACATGTTCGGCTACAAAGGGAAATAGATTTGGTTTACAAATCTTGTTATTCTTGAAAATGGTAATTTATGTCCAACTCACTTAAGCCTTAAGGATATTAAACTTTTGATTGGAATTGTTTGTCAGTTTATGTATCGCATCAAGTGTCATGTTAGAAGTGGTTTAATATTTAAGTTGCTGGCATATATTTTAAAATGTAAATTTGTCAATTAGTTTGGTAATATTACGATATGTCTTGTGTTTTAAAGTGTTTAGCAGATATTCATCTGCTTAGCTACTAATTTTCTGTACATTAATTTAGGAAGCAATTGCTGGAAAATGCAATGTAGTTTGCATTTCAAAAGATAGCAGAAATCCACAACCTTCAGATGAAGAGCTCCAAATGGCCGACTTTGTTTATTACCGTACTTTTGATGTTGGACAACACATTATCTTGGATAAAATAGATGACAAAGTTGCTGGAATTGATGGTATTATTCTTCAATCATGTAATGCTCCTTCATTGTGATTTCCATTTCGATGCTGTTTGTATTAATTATTCCTGTTTTTGTTTCTCAAATGTTGCAGTTAAATTTATTTTTAACCAAGTGGGTTCTCTGAAGCCCTGTTCTGTTCATAACTTTAGTGCGGATGATAAACATGCTAGTGAAAATGCTATGGAAACAAATGAAAGGGCGGTTTTGTCCAAGCTAAACTCATCTGAGAATCATATTGCTGAAGATGATAGACAAGAGGAGCAGAAACTTGTGGTTGTGGAGAAGCTTGCTGCCAATGATGGACAAGAGAATGGCTTTAACTGCAAAATTGCTTCAAATGTTAAAGTTGAAGAGAATTCAGATGTAAAAGTGTCATCAGTTAAACCGAATTTCTCCCAGAGAGAGAAGCCTGTTTCTGGTGTAGTTACAAAGTCAGGTGAACTGGCCAGAAGCAATGATAGACTGGAAAATACTTCTGGAGATAAGATAGGTTCAATCCATAAAGTTAAAGAAAATGAAGACTTAAAAGGGTCATTAATTAAACAGGAAAACACCTCTGGTGAGAAGATAGGTAGTGTAAGTAAGTCTTTTGTCAATAAAGTCAAAGTTGATGAAAAATTAAAATCAATTAAGGAGTTAGGGGAGTTTGATGAGAAGCCGCGTAAGAGAGCAAAGATTGATAGTTCTGTGAAAGTCTCCAATGACAAGAACAAGAACAAGGTGCTTAAGCCAAACTGTGATTCTGATGGAAATAATTCAAAGTCCTTAGTGCCAAACATTACTGCTTCTGAAGATAAATCAAGACGTGCTACAGATCCTCTTTGGACAGCCAACAACTCTTCCAAGAAGCTGAAGATTGATGATAAACTCACAAAACCTACTAATTGCAAATCTCCTGAGTGGCCTCCAAATGATGGTATAAAAACTGGTGATAAAGCACTGGAAGTTACTAGGAGGCCTGATTCTGTAAGTGGTATTTTGGGTTTGCCTTCTCCTTTTCTTTTTTCCCGATCAATTGGAATTTATTTGATTTACTTTGCAAAATTTTAAGAGTTATTATACAAATATCTTAATATTGATATTCAATTGTTGTGAAGGAAAACAAAATTTTAAGAGTTATTATACAAATATCTTAATATCGATATTCTATTGTTGTGAACTAATAGTTTTATCAAACTAATGGTATATGGATGATGGATAAATCTTGTTAACCCTATCTTTTCTTTTTTCACCTCACATTGGAGCCTAAAATTTTTCCTCCTACTGAAATGATCCTATTTTAATCTTTTTAAGAAAATAAATCGCTAGCCCTCAAATTTTAATTTCTCTTTACATTTAATGACAGAATAGTGTGGTTTCATGTGAATGTTTCTGCTACCTTGGTTTTTGCTTTTACGCAAATCTCTTTTTTGGATGAATAAGTTTTATTCGAGTCATTTTTGTTGTGTCCTGGATAGTATCGTGCTTGCAGTTTCAGCTTCCCCCCCTTTTGTGGATGTACTTACTACTGTCCTGTTATCCCTGTGTTTGTCTCCATGATGTGAAAATTTCTTGTGAAGATGAGATATTTTTTAGTTCTTACATTTTATTGTTTATGCATGACGACAGGATAGGAGCAAATGGTTTGCAGAACTTGTAAGTACTTCTGTGTCACTCCTGCAAATTTTTAAATTAGTTTCTGCAGTTTCCTTTGAATGTTGTCACGTTTAAGAAAAAATTGGTCTACAGTCTGTAAATTGCCTCATACATTGTTTCAGCCTTGGGAAGAAAGAATGCAGGATGCACATGAGCATGGAACACTTGTCTTGTTTCAAAATCTGGATTCAGCTTACACTTCAGCGGATGTGGAGGTAGTATCTATATCAAATCACAATGATGTTGTTGTGTTTGTATCATTTCATATTTCCATGCATAATTTTGTTTTCCTTTTCTTTTCCTCTCCCTACCTTTTTGCATTGTACTTTTTTTTTTCTTTTTGCTTCCATATGAAGAATATTGTTTTATGTTGCAGGATATAGTTTGGAATGTCTTCAAGGAAACTTGCAGAGCTAAGATGGTGCAGCGGACTGCATATTCTAGCCAACATTCTGGTATAAATGTACCCATATGCAACTTTGACAATTTGATAAAGTGTTAGAAAACAGTTTTCCTCCGCTTGGAACTATCAAAAAGTAATACCTCTGATTATCTGAAGCATGAAATGAAAAGTTGCCAAAATTTTAGAAATATCATCTGATATTTTGTTTATCTAGAGGTCCTGATACAGAACTCTGGTTTTTTTCCTCGTTAAAACATGATACATAAATGTTTTGAGTTATCAAACTGGATATATCAAAAAAGGACAGTAGTAAGGCTTGCCTGAGTGTTGTGGTGACGGCTATTGTTGTTTGCCTCAAGTGATTTTTGAAGTGTTATCACATCTTTGTCATATCATCTTCATGTTGTCCATGTTTCTGCTTCCTATCATAGTTTATCAAAATACCAATATTTAAAACCATATCTAGAACTAAATGCAACCTCTTTTGGTTCCCTCAAATACAGCATTCAATTGATACATTGTTCATTAAGGAAATTAGTCTGTTCATGTTGTAGGTCAGGCTTTTGCTATATTCAAAACAAGCGAAGTAGCAGAGGAGGTTATTAGAAAATTGGATGAGGGATGCTTGTTGCTACCAAATCGGAGGTATGGTGCAATCATTATCAATCAGTGGTGCCATGCATATGTAGTCTCAGTCATTACCCTAGTCTCATGCATCTTGAATCGGTGGGTTCAATTGCCATTGTCAAGCTATTCTGTGGTTTGCAAGCACTCATGTCGGTTAGAGTATGCTGCATCAAGTACTAGTATGCCCCTTACAACCCAGATGTTGGGTTTGAAAAGTTTCTCGTCACAACTTACTTGGGCATTTTCTTTCTTTTCTTCTTGTTGTTTTTGATGACCTAAGCATTCTTTATCAGCTTTCCTTTTTCTCATACAAAAGGAGCTAGTTTTAAGTCTTCTGGCTATATGATCTCATTTTCTGCAGTACATTTGCTTCATTGGCTCTCTCTTTTAGCCCCTTCTTGCCGCTTTCAATTCTGTATTTGGTTGTGTATTTTGCCTGTTTACACCTCATTGTTATTCTATGGCTCTATGCCGGTCCATTGTATGGTCTATATCAATCTTATTCATAACGTTTAGATCAATTTGCTGCAAGCAGAACTGGCCTTAAGAGCTGTGAGGATACTTGCATTTTGCTTTTATTTAATTTTATTTCTTGTTGTGTAGGCCACTTGTTGCCAGCATGCCAAATCCTTGCTTTCCAAGGAAGCAGTCAACTTTTGCAGGCCATCTCGTTGTTGATAAACTCAAAACCCAACGGGAGATGGTACCTCTTTCTCCTCTTTCTCTGTCAGGTTGTAGGTGTGTGTTGGTGTTAGCATGCTTGCTTGTCTACACGCACCAACTGCCACATGGATGTATTAAATCTGACTTATTTGGTGGTTTCTTTTTCCTTTCTATTTCTGTTAATTGGTTTCTGGGTTTTTTTCCCAGAAAGAAGCGATATCTACTTCACATTCTTCCCAGCCTAACACACTTGAATATGATATGGCGTTGGAATGGTGCTTAATGATAGAAAGATCCAATCAGTTCTGGAAGAAGTTATTCGAGGTCTTAAATTTCTGTCATTCTTTATTTGTGTACCTGCCTTTTATTGCTTTGTGTTTGCTAAACCAGATATTTTGGATTTTTTTAGCGACAAGGGAAAGAGATCGTAAAGCTGAAGGCTAACTTTAAGTCCAGATGAGCACTGATAATTTTGTTTTCCCCTAATTTTGGTAATTACTTTCTAAACGAAGTACGACCCACTTCTGTTATAAGCATGTCATGCATTTCTTTGTAAATGATATGGCTGCTTCTTTTCTGTATAGTGTGTTCCTTTTGAATTAAAAGGAAGCCTTTATCTGAAGCAAACCACCAATGTGGAGTTTTTGTTCTGACCTCTGATATGAAGGTATGGTCTCTATGACTCTAATCTGTTTTCCTACTTTTTGCCTTTATTATCTCGTTTTAGTTAGTCCTTAGGCAATCTGTTGCTGCATGTGAATTGGTTCTGTTTGGTTGGAAACTTAGTATGAGTGTCCTGAAACCTTCAATCAGAACCTCTTGATAACACTGGTTTTGTTTCTCAAGTTTATACGTTACTCTTTTTTTTTTTTGGTTGAGATCCTTGATACTTATAACTATTTTTGAAAAATATTTTGCAGTGTTCAAGCTGGTGGAAACTTGATTCTAGCTGTGTTTTCAGACGCACTAAGACTAGGTGATGCTGAAACAGATGGAATATGCATAATTAAGGCCTGAGCTCCGAGTCTTTTTAGGTAATCAGGCAAATTTTGGGAAGAGCAGATGTAATTATGTTTGCGGTTCAGTTTTAGCGTGATGCTTAATTCCTTATATAGCAATTTGTATAATCCATTCGCATTGCCCTCTTTTTGGCTAGGAGAGGTTTTACTAGCTCTAGTTATGTTCCCACGCCACTTTTGACCTGCGTTTGGAAATTCCAACAGACATGCTGGGATTAAACTAAAATATAATGCTTACTCTTACAAGTTACGCCAATTGAGTGGGAACCTTCGGATTTAATTATCTGATTTATTCTTACTAATATCGACAGTTTCCAAATGGTAGCTATGGGGGTGTTGAGTGTCAACAAATAGGATTTTGAGTTTTTGCTCACTTGTAATTAAAGGTGATGGAGGGCGGAAGGGATGTAGTTTTTAATGATATTGGCATGCATCTGACGAATTTACCCGTATGCATTCTGTACGTCGTTTACTTTTCAGTAGAAAGTCGACGGTTTTAAGGTTATATCTTGTTATTGGCTTATTTATTTAAATATGCACTGACAATGACTTGATCTGCAAAGAAGAAAATTAAGACAACATTAGACCATTTCAACGAATATTCTATGAAAAAGAGAGCAAGCAAGTGTGCTCTAAGACGATGACCGTGGCTTCAAGGCTCAAAAGTGAGCCTTTATCTTTGAAAAGAATGGTGTTGGGGATAGAATTTTCCAATATAGATTCGCTTATAAGTGGTATATAAGACATCTGGCGAATGGCATCTTGTTGCAGAGTGCCCGGTACATGTGTGTTTCTTTAAATTGAGTTTTATCAAAAATATTCCTTGGCTTTAATTTTCAAATTTTCAATTTTGACGGTTGATTGAATGAACCACATAAATAATAATAATAATCCATCTAATTTCAGCTTACCTAACACCTAATGCAATGTAGATAATTCGTTATTAAATTGTCGGGTCTTCTCTTTTGCTTGGATCTGTTTCTTTTTATCTTTTTTGCATGAACCCTTTAATAATAGAGCCCTAAAAGGAAAACTGATGGAGTATTATAGAGCAATTTACAACCGTTTGATTCTTCCAAAACTGATGGGTGATGAGAGCCGTCCATCAAATATGACAGTTGCAAGCAAATAATCAAGCAATAAGAACGACGTCGTAAAGCTTTAAAAAATGTGACCGTTAATCTAAAAAATTGAGAGACAAGGACACACCTCGTAATCAATTACAGCGAGTACAAACGGATACCCCACTCTCATCACTCTTCTCTCTTTCCCTCTGCTTCAGTCCAGGACAGCCTGCCTTCTCTGTGCACACACCTCTGTACTAGCTTGGCAGTATCCCACACCCTTTTCATGCTGCACCTCAGTCCCCCCCAATCTCAATCCCTCTTTTTTCTCTCTCACCCGTAATCCCTGACTCATTTCCAAACCCAAAACCAAAATCAGAAAAAGAGAACCGAACCATCGCTCACGTTCTGTTTTCACTATCCCAGCTCGTGGAAACTAAAGGTTTATTTTTTCCAACAAATGGGTTGCGCCCAGTCCAGAATAGATAACGAAGAATCAGTGGCTCGATGTAAGGACCGCAAGACCTTAATGAAAGATGCGGTTGTAGCTCGCAACGCCTTTGCGGCAGGCCACTCTGGCTACGCCATTTCCTTGAAGAACACTGGCGCCGCCTTGAGTGACTACGGCCATGGAGAAGCTGAAGAGCCTCCCGAAGACCACCACCAGATCCCTCCTCTTGACTCCACTCCTCAACCGCCTCCACCGCCTCCAATGATGGACAACCTTCCTCCACCTCCTCCGCTTCCTAACTTTTCCCCGAGTCCAGTTGCCCCCATCAAACGCGCCGTCAGTATGCCTGCAATGCCTGTCAAGAGTCGGGAGAAGTTTGATTCTTCCCTTGCTATTGAAGAAGAAGACGAAGAAGAGGACGAAGAAGAAGAAGAAGAACAAGATCATCATGAGGAAAACGAAGTGCGTGAAAATAGTAATAATGAAAATTTGAGAAAAGATTCACGAGGGCCCCATAGGGAGGAGATAACCCCACCGAGGACTCCGGAGAACAACAATGTCGGCCACCACCTGCCTCCGATGCCTGAAGCTAAAAACATAGCTTGGGATTACTTCTTCTTGGTCGATGATAACATGCCGGGTCCGAGCTTGCAGTTGGACGACAACAATAATGAAGCTGATAATAGAAATGTTGATACTTTAGAGAAAAATGTTGGTGGTGTGGGGTTTGTCGGCCACAATGGAGTTGATTGTGAGATTGAGCCAAAGACGCCGCAGAGGCCGGAGGAGAAGATGGTGATGTCAGTGGAGGTTGATGATAAAGGGAAGCAGCAGGTGCAGATTGAGCATTCAAAAACGGCTCCGGCAGATTTCAGGAGAGTGGTGAAGGCCGTATCTAGTGTGAATCTGATGCAGCTTTTGAATGATATTGATGATCATTTCTTGAAAGCCTCAGAGTGTGCTCAGGAGGTTTCTAATATGCTGGAGGCTACAAGGTTGCATTATCATTCCAATTTTGCTGATAATCGAGGTAATTTACTTCTTTTTAATTCGGTATTGCTTTGGTCGTAAGTTATGTGGATGATTGTTAATTTGCTAATAAGTTTTGGCTGTGACAATTTGAGTTTTTTTCATGGTAAATGTCTGCAATTCTTTGTGTTTGATCATCCCAGGAACTTGTAGATATGTTTTCTCTGAAAGATTGAACCTTGAAGTCTGTTTAGATATGGAAAAAGAAAACAAAAATTGTATTTTTGAATGATTTAATGGCCTTTTTTTGTGTAAGGTAGCTTTACATTTAGATCTTGTTGTCCTTTAGCTTTATGTGGGAATCTGACCTTGACCTTAGATCTTTCTACTTTATTCTTTACAAAAAAAAATATATAATAATAAATAATAAGCTGCTATTTTTTTTTGGGTCAAATGGTGGTGCCTAGTTAACAATTCTAAAGTTACTAATATTTTAGTCTATGTTAATGGGAAGGTGAAAGTCATCACGCTCACTGCAGAAAAATGCACATTTAGATTTAAAAGTAAAAAAGCAACGTGTTGGTTTGGGATTTAAGAATTCGTCTATGGAGCTCACAGAAATTATGAATTTTGGCTCGTAAATTTGTCTTGTAAGTAGTAATTGCAGTTATAATGACAAATGTTTAATGTATTATACAGCGGACGTGTATTAATCATGTTACTGATCCTGTTGATTGTAGGACATATTGATCATTCTGCAAGGGTAATGCGTGTCATTACATGGAATAGGTCTTTCAGAGGTATGACAAATGGTGAAAATGGGAAGGATGAATTTGATTCAGAAGAGAATGAGACTCATGCCACTGTTCTGGATAAGTTGCTAGCATGGGAAAAGAAACTTTATGATGAAGTAAAGGTACATTTTAAACTTGGGTTATTGTTTATCTCTGTTTAAATTTATAAGGCCAGCTGCTTGCCATGGCAATCTATAGTGCTTCCTTGATAAACACCTTTCTTTTGTAATTTTGGATTAGTTATATCCTATGTAAATAATAGGCATGTCATTAGTCAGTTCCCTATAATCAATTCAAAGCTGATTTCTGCTAAATGTATTATATTAATGAAAGATGATTTTAATTTTAATATTGATATGCTATTATTTCTCTTGTTTTTAATGTTGTTTTGAATGCTTTGAAAATTCGATCACTGTTGTAGCAAGGAGAGCTGATGAAGCTCGAGTACAAAAGGAAGGTTGCTTGGTTAAACAAGCAGAAAAAACGTGGAGCTAGTGCTGAATCATTGGAGAAAACAAAAGCGGCTGTAAGTCATTTACACACTAGATACATAGTTGACATGCAATCCATGGATTCAACTGTGTCAGAAGTTAACCGATTACGTGATGAGCAGTTGTATCCGAAACTTGTTATGCTTGTTGATGGGTAAGTTTTGCTACAAAAATATTAGAAAGCCGAATATTGCTTCTAATGTTGCTTAATAATATCTTTGATGAAGAGATTATACCTTCTTTGTATTTGGCATCTTTATAAGCTCATCCCCAATTGTTTTTGTTGCTCATACGTATTGAATTAAGAAACATCTCACCATTCACTAATGGCTTTTACTGGTTTTGATTATGTACCTTTGTTGCACTTAAGTACTTGCATCTTGAAGTGAATTTATCATGACCATAAATTTGACATTCTAATTTGCAGGATGGCTAAAATGTGGGCAAGTATGTGCATACATCATGATAGCCAGCTCAAGATTGTTGAAAAGCTTAAATCTCTTGACAGTGCCTATGCCTCCAAAGAAACAACAAAGCACCACCATGAGCGCACCATCCAACTTCATAATGTTGTCCAAGAATGGCATTCACAATTTGATAAGCTTGTCACTCATCAAAAGCAATACATCCAAGCTCTCAACAACTGGTTAAAGTTAAATCTCATCCCTATAGAAAGCAGCTTGAAAGAGAAAATCTCATCTCCTCCAAGAGAGCAGAATCCTCCAATCCAAGCACTCCTTCATGCATGGCACGATTATCTTGAAAGGCTTCCTGACGAGGTCGCTAAATCTGCTATATTCTCATTTGCTGCCGTAATAAAAACCATAATTGTTCATCAAGATGAAGAGATGAAGCTAAAAGAAAAATGTGAGGAAACTAGGAAGGAATTTTTGCGCAAGAACCAGGCATTCGAGGAATGGTATCATAAGTATAAGCAACGGAGATCTGCATCAGATGAAATAGATGCAGAAAGAGGTGAAGATGCAAATACAAAGGATCCTGTCTCAGAGAGGCAACTTGCGGTTGAGAGCTTGAAAAAGAGGTTGGAAGAGGAAGTTGAAGCCCACAAAAAACATTGCATTCAAGTGAGAGAGAAGTCTCTGGGAAGTCTTAAAAGTCGCTTGCCTGAGCTATTCCGGGCTATGTCAGACTATTCTCATGCCTGCTCTGATGCTTATGAGAAGTTGAGGACTGTCACCCAGTCACAAAAACCAAATAATGCCCCCTTATAATAGACTCATCTCTGTTTTGTTAGTAATTTCCTATTAACTTGTATCTTTAAGTGAACTGCAGTTTTTATGCTTGACAGTAGTTCTTGGCAATGCAATGTAGCAATATATTATTTATCCATGTGCAAAAGAATTTGGTTGTATGCTCCTTTTCACTCCTTTTTTCTGCAGGAAGGTTGATGTGTGACAATCAAAAAAAAAAAAAAAAGTTGAAAGGACTAATGTTCTATGCACTTGGAAGCATAACCTTCCATAAATTATCAAGGTTAGAAGGTTACACATATGCAGTAAAACTCATCCTACAATCCCCCTGACGCTAGGTTGTATACTTGAATCTTCCTAAATTTTCATTTGACTTGGAAATGGTTAATGATTTATTTCTTCTTAAACGAGTAGTTTAGTTTTTGAGTTAATTGTTTCGATTCAGAGTTCAAGCCACGTTGTTACCAAATTATGCTGAAAATTGCCTCATGAACATGATTATGTGGATTATTCAGGACATCACCATACAACAGTTAACGGCTGCTGAACATCTACCTCCTCGATGATGGAAAGAAATTGTGAGGTCTGCTGGATTGGTCGTCATATCATTGGCCATGCGATTTGGCTCCATGGGCATGCTTCTTTATCAGAGGTGGGACGGTCAAACGTCAAAGTCAGTATTCTTTATTCATGAATGTTAGTTGAAGTGGTCGACGACAGGTTACTAATTTTGATTCTGGCTTTAAGATCCAAGTGCATAATTTGGAATCTGAAAAGTTGAGCAAATCACAAAACTTTGGTACATATAGTGGGATTAGCTTTTGCATCTGAGAGTAGGGGGCCAATTTGCAGTAGAGAAGGGATTGAAATGAGAATAATTTTAGTAGTAGTTGATTAACTACGATAGCAACTGAATAGCTGATCAAATATAATTTTCAAACTTAATCCAATTACCATAACAAACCAGCTTTTTTAAATTTGAAATCTGAAATTTTTTTATATAAAAGAGATAATAACTATACGAATCAATTACGTTAAATTTTGATTTTAGATTTTGTATATTTTTTGTAGGGTAACAAAATCCAAATTCCTATTTAATTGTCTTGCCATTGCTTACCATTAAAATCCTTGGAAAAATTCAATCACCTTCACCTCTCTAAATACTCGTGTATCTGCACTTTTGATGGTTGATACCAAACTGGCACGCCGCTAGCAAAGGAAGACTTTCGTTGGTTTAGCTTTTGACTCTTAAAGCTAGAAAATGTGGGCCTCTCTTCCTAGTTTCAGACTTGGATAATAGGCTAGTAGCTTACCTTTAAACTCTTAAGTAGGGCTGTAAACGAGTCGAGCCGAGTCGAATAATGAGAAGTTCGAGCTCGAGCTCGACTCACAACTCGGGGTTCGATATTCGGCTCGAGCTCGATCGAATTTTATTTTTCAAGCTCGAACTCGATTCGTGATCGAATTCGAGCTATTCGAGCTCACTCTATTAAGCTCGATTAATATATAAAAAAAAGCTCGATTTTTATACTAAAAAAAATTCGATTATTCGAGCTCGAGCTCGAGCTCGAGATCTTTTACAACTAATTTTTATCAAACCTAATAAATATTATATTTTCAAGATAACAACAACAACAATAATAACAACAATAACAACAATAACAACAACAACAACAACAACAATAATAATAATAATAACTTACACAACAACCAAATTTAAGCAAATAAAAGTCTCATTAAATGATTCAAATACAACACACAAATATAAGACATAATGAAACTTAGAAATTAAAATCCTAATTGAAAGATATTAAATATCCAAGCAAATAAGTTCACAAATAAGTTCACAAATAAGTTACAACAAACCAACAACAATACATATGCTGCCTTCACAATATTATGTCTTCAAATGAACATTGGGCTCATATTGCTTTTCAATAAACCTATACAAAAGAATAATTACAAAACAAAGAAATTATAATTAACAATAAGAATAACGATAAAAGTACCCATGCAAGAAAAAGATTGTAATATTATTACAATGATCAATAACTTTAAATTTTTAACATTAGCATCAACATAGATTTTATCTTGTCAGTTGTCTTATAATCAGAGCAAAAAAATATAAACAGTATCTTGTCAATTACCTTAACATGAGTTTCTATCATTAGTTAACCTATGGTTCGTAAATTATAATGCAAAAAGCTCAATCTAGACTAGCTACTACCTATTTTTCTTTAGTAATGTTGTGACAAATTAAAAGTATTTAATAATAATATTTCATACCTGTATAGAAGCATTAGATATCCTCACTTTAGGGGATTTTGAGTGCAATCTCAATTGATTTCTTCTCTTTCTACATAGATAAAGTAAAGGAAAATAATAGTTAAAAATTAGATTAAAGCAATGATAGTCACCTAATAACAAAATAATAATAAAAAAACTCACTTTGTTCTTCTTCTTCACTCCATGAAGATTCCGACACCAATCTCCTCCACAAAGTAATGCTTGCACTATGTCGGGTGATAAAGAAGCACGATAAGTATCAATAACTCCACCTCCTGCACTAAAGGTAGCTTCTGAAGCCACTGTAGTGATAGGAATAGCAAGTATATCCCGAGCCATCTTGGATAAAATACGATACTTCAAAGTGCTCGCTTTCCACCATTCCAAAGCATGAAACTTAGTGGAATCTCCTTCACAGATAAAACAGCCCTCAGCTAGGTAGACATCTAAATCAGATTGTTGTGGTTGAGCAGTTTCAACTGATTTTACATAATTTGCAAATTCAAACCAACCAGAAGAAGAAGCTTCTATATTCATACCACTAATACCATTATCATGCACTTGAGTTTCAGCACTATGCTCATTGCCAAATTGATACTCACGAGCATATTCATCATAAATCTCATAAAGGGCATATCGAACTTTAGCAATATTTTCTTTTGCTTCTCTATCAGGGTACATTCGAGGAAAGCAAAACTCAATCACCCTCATTTTGCACCTTGGATCCAAGATTGCTGCTATAGACATCAACAAATTACATTCTCCCCAATACTTATCAAATTTACTCTTCATCTTACGAACCATTGCTTGAACAAATTCATTTTCATCATTCATCCTTTTATCCAACAACACTTTCACACGATAAACTTCATTCAGAAACAGGTTTGAAGTTGGATAATCACTTCCAAAGATGATTTTAGTGGCTGAATTAAAAACTTTTAAAATCTCACAAACTTTCTCCACCTTTTCCCAATCTTCATGACTTGGACAACATTCATAATGAGATTCTCGCTCTTTGAGTCTCGAAAACACTTCTTTGAATTTGATTGCAATCGATAACATCTCGAATGTCAAATTCCAACGTGTTTTACAATCGAGAATGAGTTTCTTATTAGATAACTGTAACTGCTGTACTATATCAGAAAATGAGTTAAGTCTTGCCTCATTTTGATTAATAAAATTGACACTTTCATGAACATCACCAATCACATTCTTAATCTCAGAAAGGCCATCTTGAACCATGAGATTTAAGATATGTGCACAACACCAAACATGAAATAATTTTCCTCCACAAAGCAACATCCTATTTCTTGAAAAAGTGTCTTTAAGAATTCTAATCGCCACATCATTGCTTGAAGCATTGTCCACAGAAAGTGTAAACACCTTGTTTTCAATTCCCTATTCCTTTAGACACTTAAAAATACAATCAGCAATCTCAACACCGCGATGAGGAGGAGGTATGTGAACAAAGCTAATAACACGCTTTTGCAATCTCTAATTAGAATCTACAAAGTGTGCTGTAAGAACCATGTACTCAATCTTTTGATTACTTGATTTCCACAAATCTGTTGTCAAACTAATCTTGTTGACAGTCTTCAACAATGCCTTTAATTTCTTCTTTTCTGCTTCATAAACTTGCATGCAATTTTTTTTAATAGTATTGCGTGATACCTTTTCCCATTCAGGCATCCCACGTTTTTGCATCATGTTAAAATCTTTTTCTTCTATAATCGAAAAAGGATGCTCGTGCATAAGTATCCAATGTGCAGCTGCTTCTCTCATCTTTGCCATATCAAACTTGCCATCTGTGAAAGCTGGTAGTATCTGTACATCACCACATGTGTTTACTGGATGAAAGTTGATAATTTGTTGTTGATTCTGAAAATTTTTCTCTTAACACAACTTATCAAATGCCTCTTAAATTGAGTTGTACTTTTACTTGTATTTATTGCTAGCTTCTTCTTGCAATGGACACACTCTCCTTTTTTGAAACCATCAGAAAGAGTGACTTCTTTGAATTCTAACCAAACAGCAGATGTCTTTTGCCTCTTTTTCTCATTACTTTTTTCACACTCTTCAGGGTCAGCATTATCACATTCTCTATCATTGGCATCAATGACTGGTGTTTTATCTGTGTTACCATTAGTGGCATCTAAAGCTTCATTCATTGAATCATTACCATCATCTGACACAATTCGACTAGTAAAAGAATTTATTGTCGGCTGAACTGGTATAGAAGAGATATCCGGTGTGGTTGATGACATGTTTAGTTCCCTATAGCAAAAAAAAAAAAAAAAGACAAATCAAAACAATAATATAATTTTAGGATCAAACAATAATGCAAACAAGTTGTTAGAAACATGTGTGGTAAATTTTATTGCCAGAAACATGCTAAACAAGTTGCGAGAACAAATTATTGGAAGAGTATAAAATTTTATTCTTTGGGAAAATATACTAATATTGTAAGAATTTTAATAAATTTAAGATTACCTACTTCGATAATAATTTCAATTTCTAAAATCAATTTCTTAAAATGAATATTTCTTATTAATTTTCACAATTATACATGCCTATTTAGTATTTATATAACATTAACTCAATCTCATTATAAATAAGTGTCAGGTTATATTCTAACAAATCTAATATGCATAAAGAAGAAAAGTATTCACATTAAACAGTCCCCAATAAATTAGTGATGAACTATATGGAAGCTCAAATTATGATTATGACTAAAAACAATAGAGCCAATGACCTTTTTTTTTGTTAAATAATATGAACCATCCAAAAGTTTTTCTACTGATAAAGCGTATTGTGCAAGTCTTGAAGTGGCCCAAATTCAATTACTTTCTTGCTAATAATATAGAGACTTTTGGTTTACAAAATTCAGTATTTAAATGCAACTTCACAAAGAACATACTGCTTTTCACAAGTTTGCAACAAAAATAAAAGTATAATATGATAGTGTTTGACAAACAAATCAGAATTGAGAATATCAATACTAACAAATAGCTATAACACCTTGCCCCATTTCATTGTTGTTCTCGATCTGCATCCCCACAATATTCATAAGGGTATTTAATTTAGGCATTCATAAAGGTATTTAATTAAGGCATTCTTATTTAAACCACCTTTTAGCATGAATTGGAAGCCTAACATAAAAACATTTAATAAAAAAATGGCACTCAAAAAGTATGTCATGGAAAAAAGGCTACGTTGAGGGATCGGTTCTGTTCAAGCTACTGTAAATGTCGAATGGGTGGAACGAGCTTACCTTTTAGAGAGAGGAGAAAGGGCTATGTTGAGGGATCGGGTTCTGTTCAAGATCGGGTTGTGTACAAGCTACTGCAAACGTCGAATGGGTGCTACTGCAAACGTCGAATGGGTGAAACGAGCAGGCTTCTTTGAGGGATCGAGTTCTGTTGAAGCTGCTGCAAACGTCGAATGGGTGCTACTGCAAACGTCGAATGGGTGGAACGAGCAGGGCTTCATTGAGGGATCGGGTTCTGTTCAAGATCGGGTTCTGTTAAAGCTACTGCAAACGTCGAATGGGTTCTGTTGAAGCTGCTGCAAACGTCGAATGGGTGGAACGAGCAGGGCTTCATTGAGGGATCGGGTTCTGTTCAAGATCAGGTTTTGTTGAAGTTGCTGCAAACGTCGAATGGGTTCAGGTTCTGTTTAAGCTGCTGCAAAAGTCGAATGGGTTCTGTTGAAGCTACTGCAAACGTCGAATGGGTTCTGTTCAAGATCGGGTTCTATTCAATCTTTTTAGAGAGAGGAGAAAGGGCTTTCGAAAGGGTGGAACAAGCTTGAAAGACAATGGAGTGGGATTCGGAAAGAAAATGTGCTGCAAGTAGGGATGTTGGTGAGTGAGAGAGACGAGGAGAAAGACTGAAGGAGAAGAGAGAAAGAAAGAAAATAAAATTTTAGGGTTTTTTAAGCTAAGGGTAAAAAAGTAATTTTATAAATAAAATAATAAAAATAAATATATAATAGAAAAGCTCGATTAGGCTCGCGAGCTACTCGAGCCAGATATAAGAATACTCGAATTCGGCTCGATCAATAAATCGAGCTACTCAAGCTTGAGCTCGACTCGATAATAATCGAACCGAATTCGAGTTTTCTTCGAATCGAACCCGAATAGCTTACGAGTACTAATGTATCATTTACACCCCTACTCTCAAGGCTGGAGCCTTTGTCACGGCCATGGAGTACAGTTAAAAATTTCATATTGATTGTATATTAAAATTAGTATTGAGATATAAGATTTTATATTTTTTTTATGAGATATTTTTTATAAGATAAATTTTTAATATTATGAGAAGTCTAAATAGATAATAGTTTATAAAGATATGAATCATAATAATTAAATTGATCTGAGATATTAGATGAATGCATATTTGAGTTTTGAAATCACATGACTTTGAAGATTGAGTCTCAGATCACGACAAGTAATATAAGAGTTAGCTTTGAGGTACAAGTGATGTGACACCAAATATGGTGAGCCTTTATTAGAGTGAGAGATAATATCAAAGTTTTAGAGTAAAGCCAAAAATCTCACTGTATTAAAATTGATCTTGAAATATAAAAGTTCATATATTTTTTTTTGTGAGATGTCTTTTATAAAATAAAATCGTGAAGACAGAGAATCAAAGACAAAAAAATTAGAGCGGATAATATCTCATAAAAATGTGAACTACTTACATAAAATCTGAGAATATAAGATCAAAATAAATAATACATTATAAAAATATAAACTATGATAATTAAATTAATCTAACATATCAAATGAGTGTATGTTCAAATTTTAGAGCTTAGAGATCGACTCTCGTGACACTTTAGCTTGGTACAGTTTCCATTAATTTCTAAATATCTACCTCATTTATTCACAGGATTGCGGGTCGACCTTTTCTTCATGATTCCAATTTCATCGAACTTATTTAAACGAAAATTTTCCATTGGTATTCTTATCAAGATTTATGTTTTGACTTTTTGTTGAGAATTTCCATTGAATTATTCTTAAGTTGGCTATAGCTGTTTTCCTTTTTAGCATTCTTTTCATGATAGCCAAGCCGTTTATGCAGCCAGCTAAATTGGCTTTATACATTCTCAAAGATCACTTGATCAATAAGCTGTTCTTTTTGGATGAAATGATAAATGTGCTTGACCACTTGGGTCATCAACATACATATCATAATGATTCATCACTTATAAATTCTCTTTCCCAATTTCTTCATAAGCTTTGACCTCTTTTATATATATATATAATCGCTTGCATGCATTTGCATAAACCTCATCCCGCTCTCACCGAAGTCTAGACCGTGAGTTTAAAGAAGATAAAGTTCAAAATTTCTTTATTTTCAGCCATGGAAATCAAAGTATGGAACAGGCAGAATTCAGGCAGAGAAACATTCACATTAGGCAGGAGCTACATCCAACGGGGCAAAGATGATGACTCGAAACCAAAGTGGAGAACGTTTTGGAAGAAATTCAGTAGAGAAAGGAAGAAAATCTTCGGTTCCCCTGTTGCATTCCAGGGTTCTTATAACTCATATGAATACTCACAAAATTTTGATCAAGGAACAGAATGGGCAGAACCTGATAATCTTTCTCGGTCTTTTTCAGCTCGGTTTGCTGATCCGTCCAGGATCTCAAGAAGGAACGAGTTGTTGCATTGATGTGATTAAAAATGAATAGGAAAGCTTTACTATGTGTTTAATTATCTTTTGAGTTTGATCTTTATAAGAATTCAACCTCATGCTTTTGTATACAATTTTCCCTTCTTTTCTCCTCTTGTTGCTGCTTTCAATTTTGATTCCAGTCATTAGTTTGAACTGATCTTTTCTCTGGAAGGCCATTGGATTGAAGTCAACAATTAGAATGGCTGTGAATTCTTAGAAAAAAACTGATGCAGGCAGTCCTATTAACGTTTAAATGATTCATGTCATTGTTTGAGTCAAATCCATCCTGTTTTGATCCAAAACTCATGCAAAATCATTAGGAAGCAGCACTACCAATGTGTAGTTTTCAGTTCTCGCTGCCGGTTTTCAAGATATCTTGTTGGTCTTCGAGGTGAAACTTTAGCAACTTAGTAAACCAAGAAACATTATGTTTCGAAGCATGTTTGAATGTTTCTCGATCTTTGTTCTTCTAGTTGATCAGTTACCTTGTTCTTGGTAATACTAAAGAATTAACATTTGTTTATGATCTTAATGCAAAGTGAATAACACAAGACAAAAAGGAAAATATGGAATGTTTCAACTTTTACACTTGTTCTTTGCTTTATTTACAAGTAGATGAAGACGCTTTTGAGAGCTAGCCTTCACGACCTTTCCATTATACTATTCACTAGTGGAAGACAACATGATAAAAGCAAAGAGAATCTTGCAGTATTATGGTTTTTTCTTTCTATATTATATGGATATAGTCATACTTATCATATGTTTGGGCATGTTCCACCGTCACAAGTTTCAACCAATTTTAACCGCCGCACGTTGTTTAACAGAGATTTTGCAGACACATCCAAGTTTCCAAATCTCTAGAAATGAAGCCAAAACCTTTGGCTAAAAGCAAATAAAAATAGACAAAAATAAGAAGAACCGGTTTCAAAACTGTGGCATTGACACCGCCAAGCCAGCTGTGATGGCGGATCCCCTTGGAGCCAATCGTCGGCCACTAAATTTTGCCTTAAAGTCAATCAAGCAAAACTAGTTAGTTTTTTTCTTATAACAAATCTAAAAACTAATAAAAAAGAGGCAAGATGATCATTCATTCATTGCAGTTAACTACTTTTAAAAGGATTCCTTTCATGAAGGCGTAACTTTGATGACTAACATTTGAGTACAGATTGTTTACATTTATCTCAATAGATTCCTTTCACGGTGACATAACTTTGATTCCTAATTTTTGAGTATGGAATGTTTATATTCATTTCCATAGATTCTCCAAGCAAGAATTAATCATGCTTCTTTACCATACAAATCAGTGTTGGAATCTGGCATTGATTTCTTATTTCCCTGTGAAACTAGTTAGATATCTTAAGTTATCAAAGATAAAAAAAAAAGCAGGTGAACTTTTAATTTTAATTTGCATTCTAAATGAATATATTTATCAATTAATTGGTAATCACTTTCGAATCATGAAGCTTCCAATCCCCAAAATTAAAAAGAAAAATACTGAACTATATGGCAATTGTATTCCAAGGATGCCCCAGCTTATACTTTGACCTTTGGTGGCCATCAAATCTAGATTTTGCTAAATGTAAACAACGTTGCATTGACTCACAACTTGGGTGTCACGGGCTAAGCTTTTCTCAAGGAAGCAATAGACCATGTGGTATTTGGATGAACGCTTCCACACAAATCAGTCAAGGATAACCCGATATCTAAACATGCAACATTAAGCCACAAGTTAATCTCAAGCATACACAATTATAGACATTCACATTGAAGAGCTAAAAAAGCACATCAAGGCAACACTCGGAGTTTTTGAATAAAAAATATTTTATTAATATCAAGAATAGTACATTAAGAACTTTTCCCCCATCATCGGGGCCAAAGCGGCAACCCTAGATAGGTAGCCTAGCATATACCTTAACCAGTGAGACAGTCCAATAATATGCCGATTGCTCCCCCCCTCTAAAGAGCAAATGATATTTTATAGCTATGCTATCACTAGCTGTTACAATGTTTGAAATGGAGATATTTTTCCCTAGCATAAGAGATCTACCTTCTCCCCTGGCACTTCTACCCTGTCATGGCCCTATACAAAGGTTGGCTTATGACAACCTAAGCCCGATCATGGCCCTATACAAAGGTTGGCTCATGACATCCTCCCCTACCTATTCTATCGACGTCATCGTCGATTTATTGGCCTAAAATTCTTCAATCTTCCACTAGAATGCTCGGAGGTCATGGTCTTTTTCCCAACTGGTTTCTTCTAGTCCTAAGCCATCCCATTTCATTAAGTATTCACAAATTATTCTTCTAGATACCTTGGATACCCTATTCGCTAGAATCTCTTCCACGATGCGTTCTAATGGTGGCTTCATGATGATGGTGGCCTTGGTTGACTCTCTGTGGCTTGCATTTACGGGATCTGCATGGAAGGATTTTAGGTTGGTCACATGGAATATTGGTGCACCTTCATCCATTTTGGTGGATCAATTTTATATGAGGCATTCCCCACTCTGAAAAAGATCTGGACCCTTATATTTTTGTACTAATCTATGATCTTTCTTTCTCAGAAACTTGGTTTGTTCGGGTACTAATCAGACAAGAACAAGATCCCCGACCTTGAATTACTGTTCTCTACGACCCTTGTTTGCCCACTTCTTCATGCACTTAGATGTCTTTTCCAAGTATGCTCGTGCAATCTCTATGTTTTGTCTCCATTCTTTACTGAGGTTGAAGGCTCACGGATTCTTCCCATCATATTGCTCAATGAAAATATAAGGTAGTCTAGGTAGTTGTCCATTGACTACCTTAAACGAACTCTTGTTTGTGAAAAAACTCTTATTAAAGTTAAAACAAAGTTAAGCGACGTCCAATAACGAAGGTCAATTTTTTTGATTAGCTTGTACAAAGTACCTTAAGTACTCCTCTAACAACCTATTGAATTGTTCTGTTTGACCATCAATTTGGGGGTAGTAGCTTGAAGAGATATTGAGTTGAGACTCCGGTATCTTGAAAAGTTCTCTCCAGAATAATCCTGTGAATCTTGGATCCCTATCATTGATAATGTTTTGAGGAAAGCCCCAATATTTGATTACATGTTTAAACATTAACCGTGTTGTATCTTTCATAGTACAATATTTTTGGGTATGAATGAATATAGAATACTTCGAAAAATGGTCAATCATTACCAAAAGAGATCTAAGATCGCCAACTTTGGGAAGGCCCGATATGAAGTTAAGGGAGAAACTTTCTAAGGTCTAATAGGTACCGGTAGTGGTTTAAGCATACATGCTGGTTTTTTCTTTTCAACTTTATCCTATTGGTAAATAAAGTAAGTCTTGATGTAATCCATCACATCTTGTCGTATGTGAGGCTAATAATAGCTTTGTTTTAATAGAGTCAAAGTACGTTGCCATCCGGGGTGACCCACCCATAGTGTGTCATGACATTCCTTCATCAGCATCTGTTTTAGACCTCCTACCTTCGATACAAACAATTGAGGGCCTTTTGTTAACAAGACCTTTTTTTTACCAAAAGTACTTAGACTTCCCTTCTTCTGTTAACTTCAGGATGGCTTCGGCCTGGGTGTCTTTTCTCAAATTATCTTCAATTAGCTAACAAATGTCTATTGTGACTTTGCTAGTTGCCATTTGGGCAATCCTCCTAAGGGTTACCAGTTTAACTCATCTACTTAGTGCAACAATCACTTGATTATTTCTTCCAGCTGTGTGCTTAAAATAAAAATCAAATTCAGCTAAAAATTATTGCCATTTGGCTTGTTTTGCTATGAGCCTCGGTTGGGTGAAGAAATGACTAACTGTTATGTTGTCCATCTTCACGACAAAGTGTGACCCCAATAAATAATGTCGCCAAACCCTCAGACAGTGAATCACTGTCAAAAGTTATTTCTCTTGAGTCGTATATCTCCTATCGACTTCACTTAACTTCTTGTTTTCAAATGTTATTGGGTGTCGTTCTTGTAATAGCATTCCTCAATAGCAAAGTTCGATGCATCCGTTTGAACTTCGAAAGGCTTTTCGACATTGGAAAAAGTCAAGACAGGATCTTTCATGATAGCTTCATTCAATCCTTTGAAAGCTTCTTGACATTCACTTGTCCAACACCACTTATGCTTCTTTTTTAATAGTTTTGTGAGAGCAGTAGTTCTGCGGGAGTACCCTTCCATAAATCTTCTATAATAGTTGGCCAATCCCAAAAATAAGCAAAGTTCACAAATATTTTTTGGTGTTGTCCACTCTTTGATAGCCCTAACTTTTCTCATGTTTATTTGAATGTGGCCATGTTCGACAATGTGGCCTAAAAAATGAATTTGTGTTTGAGCAAATGTACATTTCTCTTTTTTTATAAACAACTGGTGGTCTTGTAATCTTTGAAGCACCAGGCGTAGGTGTTTTGATGCTCTTCCAAAGTGGAGCTATATGCCATTGTCATCTAAATAAATGACCACAAACTTGTCAAAATAATCATGAAACACCTGATTCATCAAGATACAAAATATGGCAGGAGCATTGGTTAGTCCAAAAAGCATAACAAGAAATTCAAATACACCATATCGTGTTACACATGTGGTTTTTGGCTCATCACTCTTCGCAATCCTGACCTGATGATAGCCAGACCTCAAGACCAATTTGGAAAACTATTTGGCCTGACTTAGTTGATCAAACAAATAAGCAATAAGAGGAATTAGATATTTGTTTCTTATGGTAACCTTGTTCAGGGCCCTGTAGTCTACACATAATTGTAGGTTTCCATCATGTTTCCTCTGAAATAGCACGGGTGCTTCAAAGAGTGCTTTTGAAGGCCTAATGAACTCAGTCTATAAAAGTTTACCCAATTGTTTCCTTAGTTCAGCCAATTCTGATGGAGCTATACGGTATGGGGCCTTAGCAGAAGAAGTTTAATTTTATGGTTAACCGATCTTCAAGAAGGTAAGATCTTAGGCAATTGCTCTAGCATCACATTCTCAAATTTTTTCAACACCCTTTTCACGCTACCGGATATCAATTCCAACTCTATCCCATCATTGTAAATCGGTATAGCCACATAAGAGGGCTCTCATCTTTTTACCTTTTTCTTGAATTGTAATGCTGAAATCATTTTCTTTCTACTCTTCGATAAGATTGTGGTCGACACCACACATGGATGCTTCCATAAGAATAATAGACAACTAGTGGTAGGGATTGGTATCACCTGAGCCAATATCATGAAGTCTAATCCAAGTACAACATCAAAGTCATCCATGATGAAAACTATGAAGTTATCTTTCCTTTATATGGCCCCAATTTAGTCATCACATTCTTGGAACTTTCACTGATCGCAAAGGCTGGTGAGTTAACCGTTTTTATTTGCCCACAGTCCTTACTCACATTGAAACTACACATTTTTGCTTCATCTGTTGTGATGAAGGTATCGGTTACACTCGTATTTACTATAGCCCTTGTGGTCTTCTTATTGAGTACCAGGTCCACATATATCAAGCCTTTACTCGATTCTTTTTTTATCATATTTAGCTGGGTATGAAAGGTATTAAGAAACCGTATAGAGCCTATCATGGTCGACTCATTTTCCATTTCTTCGACTGTTTAGGGCACTTTTATGGACTCTTGAGATGAGGCTCTCAAAGCATTAAGGGCCCCTTTATGTAAGCATTCAACCACTCGATACAGCCCCTTGCATAGGAAACAAGCTAATAGTTGCCTGGGCTTAAAATTTGCTGCATTGTTTACCTTGGGTTGGATATTGTCTCAACCAAAGGGCTTTTTGTCTGATCCCTCACTGAAGGGTCGGTCCACTTTAGCCATCTTTCCCATACTCCCAAAGTTGGAGTTATTGCCACCTGATGGAAGATTTTTTCATTTTAAAGAGCTATCATTGTAATCATGAAGACGTTCAGCTGCAGCCATGGCCGTGGCCACATTTTACACCTTTTATCTTTGTAATTCCGTCATGGCTCAAGGTTTGAGGCCTTCAAGGAAGTAGAACATCTTGTCTTTTTCGGACATGTCTCTAATATCTAACATCAGAGTAGAAAAGCTCCTCACAAACTCTCGCACTATTCTCGTTTATACCAATTCTCGAAGCTTCCTTCGAGCCATATACTTCACATTCTTAGGAAAAAACTGGTTTTTTAATTTCTGTTTCAGATCCACTCAAGTTTTAATAGGACATTCATCATTTACAAATTTTGAACACCATCATAGTTTGGCATCCCCTACAAGGTACATTGATGCCACTGTAACCTTATCTTCCTCTGATTCAGTACATACAACTTAAAAGTATTACTTTATGTCAAACAAAAAGTTCCCAAGCTCTTTGGCATTTTTTGCCCTCTCGTAGCATCGGGGCTTTGGCACCTTAGCCTTTTTTCCCCTTTCTGTCAAGCTAGAACTTGATTTAGTCATAGCCAGTTGTAGAACACTCACTTGGGCTCTAAGCTCATCAAACTCTTTTTGGAGGACATTCAAGGCATCTCTAACCTCCTCACTCAAGCTATGTAGAGTATCGGACAACTCTCGCTGGGTTGTCTCGATTTCCCTTAGTCGATCATTTGTCACCACATAAGCTTTTAAAGTGGCCACTGCGACCTCCAACTCTTCAATTATCTGTTGGTAATTGAATCCACCACTCGTGGCCATTTCTTCAATTCTCTAGCACTTCTCAACCATGCTCTGATACCATGTGTCACGGGCTAAGCTTTTTTCAAGGAAGCAATAGACTATGCGGCACTTGGATGGATGCTTCCACACAAGTCAACCAAGGATAGCCCGATATCTGAACAAGTAACATTAAGCCACAAGTTAATCTCAAGCTTAAACAATCATAAACATTCACATTGAAGAGCTAAGAAAGCACAACAAGGCAACACTCGGGGTTTCCAAATAAAAGAAATATTTTATTAATATCGAGAATAGTACATAGAGAACTTCCCCACCATCGTTGGGGCCAGAGGGGCAGCCCTAAACGGGTGGTCTAACACATACCTTAATCAGTGAGTCAGCCCAACAATACGTCGACTAGTCACCCCCTCTAAATAGTAAATGAGATTTTATAGATATGCTACCATTAACCGTTACAATGTTTGAAATGAGAATATTTTTCCTTAACACAAGAGATCTACCCTCTCTCTTGACACCTTTACCGGGTCATGGCCCTATACAAAGGTTGACTCATGACAACCTAAGCTCGATTATGGTCCTATATAAAGGTTGGCTCATGACATTGGGGCTGTGGTCTGCTTAGTCGATGATGGACCCAGGGCGAGCTTCAACCTCTTTTGGTGAGATAATGTCTCGGGACTTGGATTGGGTAGACATGTAGCTCACTGCTCACGTGGTTGGAGACTTGGAGTCCCACCCCATAAGTTTTGTATTCAAGATGTAAAATGATGAGCCTCAAATAAGTGAAGCGAAAATCGCTGTCCTAACTCCTAAGAAGTTAAAACTTGGAATGACACTATCCGATATTGATAGCATATTCCCGGAGAAACCATCAACAACAAAAGCAATAAAAATTAAATAATGCTTATGATTTGTCACAAGTCTAGAATCACAAAGTTTATGGTAGAAAACAGTTTTTGCTGATGATTTACTAGGATCACAACGTTTAATCTGTACAAAACACCTTCACGTTCCAAAGTTGAACGCAGAAATACATGACATGAAGCCATAGATTTCTCGAACTCTTGAAATCTCTAAATGCATATATAAAACGTTCTCATCTAGTGGACAAGGAGCCTGACCTGACTATCAATCTCCAAATCATCCCGCAGCATTAGTTGGAAGATCATGAAGCTCGTTCCGATTTCCATAGAGAAAAGCATTAAAGCCCATCTAGAGTTGCAAACCATTGGCTGACTAGAATGAAATACATAGTTTCAAAAAACAAAATACCCTTTCAAACCGAACAAAAACAATAAAAAAAAAGAACGAAATAACAATTGTACTTAGATCAATTCACCCCTAATAGATTAGGATTTTATTCCATTAAGAAAGTATCATAAAAAAAAATTTCCTGATCAGATTGGTAAAATCATGAAAAGCATTTTGATTTATTTATCTCTTATTTTACATATAATGAATTTGCTAGAACCAATACATGATTTACTTTTAGTTTTTCTGAGATTGGGTCTTATATTTGGGGGCCTGGGAGTGATGTTACTTACCAATCCAATTTATTCTGTCTTTTCATTGGGATTGGTTCTTGTTTGCATATCATTATTCTATATTCTCTCAAATTCTCATTTGTAACTACCGCCCAGCTCCTCTCAAATTCTCATTTTGTAACTACCGCGCAGCTCCTTATTCAATCCTATTTGTTGTGATGTTCATGAATGGTTCAGAGCATTATAGAGACTTTAATCTGTAGATCATTGGGAATGGTCTTACTTCGTTGGTTTGTACAAGTGTTACTTGCTTTGCTAATTACTACTTTACTACAAAATCAAACCAAATTATAAAACAAAGTTTGATAAGTAATAGTCAACAAATTGGAATTCATTTAGCAACATATATTTTTTTCCATTTGAATTCATTTTGTCAATTGTCCATCATCACTGATCAACTGCCACTAATAAAATCCTCAATTCAAACAGTAGCAATGACAGAAACCACATTATCTGGCAAATAAGGCCTCAAACATCTCATCCTTAGGTCCATCACTAGGGCAATAATCTGAAACACTACAGGAAGCCATCAACAGACAATGAAGCCTTTAAAATGTCGATTACCACACTTGACTAACCATTGAGTTTCTAAAGTTTGAACATAGTATGCTACAACCGCAAAAGCTAGTTTGGCTACTCATGTTACCATGTAGCATGAACTCAACAACATTAGTTTTCAAGGATATGACTAACAAGCAAGGAGATGTTATACGATTAATTCTAGAACATTGATCACCATTTACCGAGAGGCTCTACTTACATTTTTTTCCATTTTCTCTACCAACTTATTACAGCAACAATGAGAATTCAGCTCAGAGAAAGAAGATGAAATTATGGACGACCAATAATATTTTCATCAACATATAAAACAAAGTAATGTAAAAAATTCAGGATTTATTCATATAAAAAAGGCTGTGTGAGTTACAACACTATCATAGTTAAGTGGTTAAGGAATGCCAATATCCATGGTTTCTCCCAGCAAAGGAATAAGGTTTTCCTGTTAATAAGTTTATGTTGCAGTTGGTTTGCTGGCTCCATGCTTACATGGAACTTGTTGGTTTTGATTCTTCAACTCATCTCCGGCCACAAGAAAGAATGATGTGTGCCTGAAAAACACATTATAATGTCTCACGAATTTGAACAAGAATAGGATGACAAGCAAGGAAAGGACAAAAATGAAAAAACAGCAACTATGTGCCTGAAAAAATTCATCATTTTGACTTTTGAATCAGCATCAATGTCAGGGGTGCTCGCTAATGCCTTTTCCATATGATGTAACCATCTCTCGGCAGCTTGATGTGTGACTGGAAATGGTCTATGACGTCCAATCAATGCAGGATGACCTGCCAGGCATCACAAGAAAAGATACCCAGTCCAATAAATTGTTAAGAGAAAGACTAAAGGGTGGAAGCCTTATTACCAAATGATTAGCATCTAGTAAGTGGCAACAAGAATTTGTATTCCAGTAGCCTCAAACTTTATTCTGTCTAATTTATTAACCCAAGGACAACATGAATAGGGAAAACTTTATCCTTGTATATTAGTCTCACGTAAAGGAAGAATAAGTATTTAGCCATTAAAGAGAGTAAGAACAAGCTCGCTTCTAATTCTATCAAATACACATAATTTTCCAAACTACGGAGGTAAAATTAAGGCAATGATCCCACAATAGATGGTCAGTTTTCCCTTTCTTCACCATATGTCTTGCAATCAAATTCAAGGAGATGATTATGCAACAGCCTGAAGGTTTAAGGTTGCAATTTGCTAGGGGGTTGTGGAGCCAGTTAAGCACACAAATTGGTCAAAAAAGATCTGTTGAAAAGGCCAAACCAGGGTAGGTAGACTCTATTTCTGTCCAGTCTGACCCTGGTAATTCCAAAATCATCAGTACATCTTTTACAAGAATAACACCTAGATAAAACCGATGCCGAGTTCAACTTACTTCTAATGTTAAATGATTGAATCTCATATTCCAGTATTTACTCTAGAAATCTTTCCTTTCAGTCTCTCATTCTTGAATTAATGTTAATAAAACAAGCCCCAAGCCAGTGGAAATATTTGAATAAAAGTTCAATTAAAAACAAAAGAAACGAAAATTTTGCTAACCTTTCCTCTGAGAAAAAAGAGCAGGTCCTCCCATTCGTTGCACAAAGAATTCATATTGATTCTGAATGGCCTCTTCTTTCTTGGAATTAGCAAATATTGATCGAAACCACTCTTCTTCATCATCATACACCCTAATTTCCAAGGCAACCAATAAAAAAAAAAACAAGATCTTGTTTGAAAAAAAAACCAAGTTAAAAAAAGAAAGATACCTGGTGTAGAAATTGGTGGAGAGGTTGATGAAAGTTTGGAGACCCAATTTCGGGAACAAATTAGTGTCATCAATAGCAAAGGCATCGGCAGTATTAACGCCGCTCCACTCCGAAGCCTTTTCCTGCAGTGACTGCATCTCTATTTGCTTTTATGTCTTGGGTTCCAAATGCAGCAACTGAGGAAGCAAATCAATGAGAATCAGTTGAATTATTGAGGGCTGTATTGACCATATAAAGGCGGCCCGTTGTGGGAATGCTCTTTTTTTTTGTTTTTGTTGCTGGTTTGTGTGCTTAAAATGAGTAATCTCTCTTCTCTAATCAATATTTGGGATTATTGGTCCAGGAACCGTGCGCTGATGGTTTCGGCTTTCAATTTTTTTTAGTTCTTTCATGAAGCCAACCATGCTTAGCTCATTATGTTGATAGTATAGGAATGGGATATGGACCAATGGACCAACCTTGGGAATTTGTCGCGACGGTATCAGCCTGTTGTCATGTTTCAGAAGCCTCCAAAGACAAAGCCCAAAAGGAAAATTCTAAACAGAGGACGTAACCCGTAAAGCATAAAATAAAAATTTCCAATTGGGCCCAACGGACCCAACCGGTCCAAAAGTTACCTAAACAGTTACCGCTAACCGACATACAGAGAGGGAAGCAAGCAACGGAATAATAATTACATAAATAAACGTATTGCAATCACCAAATTCGCGCAAAAAAAAAAAAAAAAAAAACACCCAATTCGATCATATTAGAAAAACCCTAACCGGCTAGCATTCTGTCTTAAAAAGGAAGTTTTTCTCGGAAAGATCTCCGATTGTTTTCGTGGTGGCAAAAACTTATCTCTTAGAAGTTTGTAGATTTTTTGTTGCAGATATATAGAAGGATCGATTGCTACAAGTTAACGATGGTTATTGAAGTGGAAGAGATGGAGAAGGCGCGAACCAGGAAACGGCCTCGTCTTGGGTGGGACGTCGCACCATCTGGGCCAGAGGTTGGTTCCTCATATTAAAAAAAAAAAATTAGGGTTAGGGTACAGCCACAGCAGTAAGGAGAAAGCCAATCTGAAGGGCTAAAGTAGTTTACTTGGGTATGAAATAAAAATCTGACCTTTTTGGGGTGGGAATTGGTTTGTAGGCGCAACGAGCTCTGGTGACGGCTCGGCGTTCCTCGCCGCCCAAGAGGGATGATGATCACGAAGGCCATTACGTCTTTAACCTCGGCGAAAATCTCACTCCAAGATGTAAGCTTTTTTTTTTTTTGGTTGTTCCAACCTCAATTTTCACTTTTTACTTTTGCTTATATTATAATGATTAATTATTTGTGTAATTAATGTTTTGACAGATAAAATACTTAGTAAGATGGGTGAAGGTTAGCTGTCAAAGTGCTCTGCTGTTGGATCTTTTAATTTTTGTGATTCTGGTTGTGGCACATTTCAGCAAAAATTGCTAGTGTTGTAGGCACATTTGGCCGAGTTTTGGAATGTTGGGACCGTCAAACACGAGAGTATGTTGCGATTAAGGTAGTTAGAAGCATACGTAAATACCGTGATGCAGCAATGATTGAAGTTGATATACTGCAACATCTTGCTAAGAATGATAAAGGCATCTCACGGTACGTGCCTTCGTGTTTTCAGTTTTTTCAGTTTACGGATATTGCTTCTTGTTTCATTTGTGCCTACAGACACTTTGGTTATCTTTTGCAGCTGTGTACAGATTCGCAATTGGTTTGATTACCGCAATCACATTTGTATTGTAAGTATTCAATGAACCTTCTTTTAACCATTTTGTGTTTCTTTTCAGTCGGTTTTTTCTTCAAAGAAATTATGTTATTGGCAACCTTATTTTAAGTAAGAGGTTAGCTTAACATGTTGTTATGAAAGAAGTGGCTGTAATGTTGAAGTTGCTTGTTGTCTTAGAATGCAAGATGCTTCATTCCTTCTCAGTTTGTTGTGATTCTTTTTTAGACAAATTAGTTGAAATCCTGAGCTTTATGCTGTAATTGGATGAGATAGTTGAATCTGTTATGATGCCTTGATTATATTTTGTCTTTGTGGACTTAATTCATGTAATTGGGACTAAACAAAAACCTTCCTGTGGATGCATTTTAATGGTGTTACCAGGTGTTTGAGAAGCTTGGACCCAGTTTATTTGATTTTCTAAAGAGAAATAAATACTGCCCTTTTCCTGTGGATCTTGTTCGGGAATTTGGACGTCAGCTTTTGGAATCTGTAGCATGTGTGTGGATTGTCCTTGGCTCCTGTTTTATCATCTTTCCTTTTCTAACTAATCTACCTTTTCTGTTTTTTTAGGCCTGTCTTGTTTGTTCAGGGGTAGCATTGGGTTAGTTATTGTATCCCTTATGTTTAACATCTTTCTATGCTTTAAATATATATGGCAGATATGCATGATTTGCTCTTAATCCACACTGACCTGAAGCCAGAAAATATTCTTCTTGTATCTTCTGAATATGTAAAGCTTCCTGGCTGCAAGGTATTTGGCCATGTATAATTGACAATTTATGCCTTTATACATATGGGCTACAAACTCGGTTATAACAATAAAAAATGGTTGGAATGGTACAGAGGAGTTCTTCAGATGAAATGCATTTCAGGTGCTTGCCAAAGTCAAGTGCCATTAAGCTGATTGATTTTGGTAGTACTGCATTTGATAATCAGAATCATAGCTCCATTGTTTCCACAAGGCATTACAGAGCCCCTGAGATTATTCTAGGTAACCAATCATTGTGTTGGAAAGTGAGAATGTGATTTCCCTGTGTTTGCTCAGTGTTGTGTTCTATTCCAAGTTCAGAAAGGCATTGAATAGTCTCTCTTCTGTTCTTTTCCCCCACTTTTCAGGGATAGGTAAAAGAGATTCACTTTTGAATGATATATTTCCAGGCGCCAATTGGGCTCAAAGAAGCCTATTCGAGGACCACATCATAGAATCTAAGAGCAACAATATTAGAATGACTAATAACATGGTTTCCCTGAAAATAATAACTGGAAATTTCATGAGTCCTTCCCTTTTTAATGTCATGTCTTTGGTTATGTTTTATTGGTCCTGCTAATCTGGATCTTTAATTTGATTTTCGATTTTCTGTTGGTTCCTTTTTACCTAGCTTGTTTCTGCATAAATTACTGACACCAGTCACGTGTGCTATCTGTTGTTGTGACACATTTTAAAATACATTGATGCAGGTCTAGGTTGGAGTTATCCATGTGATCTCTGGAGTGTTGGTTGTATACTTATTGAACTATGCACTGTCAGTCCTGCACTTTTTCAGACGCATTTAGCTTTTTTTTAATATGTGGAATACAGGATCTTACACTGTTTAAATTATCTGCAGGGTGAAGCATTATTTCAAACCCATGAGAACTTGGAGCATTTGGCAATGATGGAGAGGGTATTAGGACCTCTTCCTGAGCATATGATTCGAAGGGCTAAGTAAGTTATGAGCTTACTTTTAATCTCATAATCAACTGATTATAACTGCATGCTCACCCTATTTTGGGTTTTATACAGCCGGGGTGCTGAAAAGTATTTTCGACGAGGCTCTAGACTAAATTGGCCTGAAGGAGCAGTATCTAGGGAGAGTATTAGAGCTGTTAAGAAGCTTGATCGACTGAAGGTCAGATTTCCTTTCATATGTCTGCTTTGATATGTACTTTTCCTTTATCTTATTAAAGCTTGCTTTTTATTTCAGAATATGGTATCACATGCAGAGAGATCAAGATATTCATTTGCAGACCTGTTGGAAGGTTTGTTGAAATATGAGCCATCTGAACGTCTCACTGCACGTCAGGCTCTAAATCATCCTTTTTTTAAGAATCCAAGCTAAGTGGAAATAGTAAATAAATGGTTTCAAAGTGCTTGGATATCTGTGGGAGACAATGGCGAAGGCCACAAATTTTGAGATTCCTATGTTTGTATACCATGTTGGTTTATCAGAATATAGAAGTTGCATATTTTGTTGTGATGTCCTTGTGTTGATATCCCCATCTTTTTATAGAATTAGGGCGAAGCATGCCAAAACAGCATTACCAATAATCTCTGCAAGAACACAAGCCATCCTTGAATCTCTTACCACGGAAACTACCTTTAAAATCCAATTGCCAAGTTCTCACCGTGAACTGACAAGCTCTCTTCTGTCGACTCCCCATCTATATATAACGCGATGCAAATTTCACCCTATGAGCATAACCCAATTCTTGTTTCAACCTTTTCTCCGTCCCCTGCAGGACTTGAATTTTCCCTATGATAGAAAAAGTTGACCTCCTTGTCAATGTCCACCCAACTACGTTCTGTGTCCTTCCCGACCCCTTTGCTTTGGCTAATTCTCTTACTTCCTCTTAGTCGTCCCAATAGCCAGCCTCAGCGGAAATATTTGAAATCATCACGTAGTTGACAGGGTTGTCGCCATCCAATTTTAAAAGACTTTTGCCTATTTCCTTCACCAGATGCCGGTCTCCATGTACTCTACAAGCACTAAGCAACGTTTGCCAAATCCCTACGTTTGCCTTTAAAGGCATGCTTTCTATGAGGTTCGTGGTTTCTTTCAAGCGTCCATCTCGACCGAGAAGATCAACCAAGCATGTATAATGCTCTATACCAGGTTTGACCCATCGATTACGGCGCAGCTGTAAGAAATATTCCTCACCTTCCTTGATGAGTTCAGAATGACAACATGCTGAGAGGTATAGCCAAATAAGTCACCACGCCAGGCTCAATATTATCTATTTGCATTTTGTTAAAGAAACGAAATGTCTCTTTGCCAAGACCATGTTTTCCATAGCCAGTGATCAAAACTGTCCAAGAAACCACATTTCTTTGAATAGTCTTTCTGCCTCATCTAGCATTCCGCATTTGAGATACATATCCACAATTGAATTGGACACAGTACCTCTAAACCAGAAGGAAACTTAACAGTATAGGCATGCATTTGCTTGCCTTGCTCCACGGGTGCAAAATCAGCAAACACGGCCATCATACTTGACAGAACAAACCCATTCACTTTCTTGCTGCTGTTTTGAAGCTGCCTAAACAACTCAATGGTCTCTGCCAAGTTCCCTTCTTGGGCATACCACAGAATTAATGCACTCCAAGATATGACATTCTTCTCTCCAATCTGATTAAACAAACTTCGAACCTCAATCAAGTTCCCACATTTCACACACAAATCAATAAGAGAACCCACGATGGCTGCCTTAGCTGGACATGGAAGTCCATTAGTGATAAAAAAAACCATAAATCACCGATCCTTCCCTTATCTTACCTAGAGCACGATAAACTTTCAACATGGTTGTTATTGCATACTCATCCGGGATCTCTTCATTTTCTTGCACTCTTAAGGAACAAAACTAAAGCTTTCTTACCCTGGCCTGCAAGTGTATAACACGCTATCATTGTATTCCAACTTATTAGATTCCTAACTGACAAAACATTAAACATCGTCGCTGCTTCCTTGGTCCTTCTTTTGAGTACATATCAACTATTGAATTCCCCACCACAGGGGCACATTCGAAGCCAGATATTACACACATACTATGAATCTGCATTCCAATCTCAATAACATTCAAAATCCCACAAGCTTTAAATTCGTGGAAAAAGTAAACTCATTTGGTTTAAAACATGAAATTGCCATCTGACAGAAAGTGTCAAGGTTGCTCTGGCATTACCATTTTGTAAATGGCCACAGAAGATCGCTGTCTAAGAATCACATTTCTCTCAGTCACTCTGTCAAACACGAGAGAAGCCGTGTCCATTACACCACATTTTGCTTACATATCTATAAGATCACTGCTCAACATCAAGTCAAAACCAAACCCCGTTTTCAAAGTAGCTGCATCAACCTGAACCCCTTGATCAAGCAATGAGTTCTTTGAACAACACCTTAAGAGATTGGCTAATCTCTGCCTCTTACTCCAAATGGGAAACAACAATGGGGTCATTGATTACCCTGCAAAACTGCGTTTCAGTTAAGTCCCTTTATTCAGTGAAAAACCTTTCGGTACCCATGTTGCATAATTGCGTGAGCCTAGCGGAATTGAAGAAAAAATGATGCCCATGTTTCGAAGAATGATTTCTTCAAGACGAAATGGTGGTTTTTGTAATAAAATCATGTGCTTCAAGTAACTTTTCATTCTGGGTATATTTCATACGCATGGATTTTGTTCATATTCCACATCTTGTAATTGTCTTACTTGACGGTCTAAAGCCAGGGAAGTGGGTATGGGTTAATAATTTGCATTGTGAAAAACAAAAGGATATTATTCAGCATGAAAACAGAACAAGAGCCTTATCTTATAGCAGGACTCCAAATCCCGGTATCCGTAAATTAGTTCAGATAACATACAATTACAGTGTGAGAATTACAAAAATGCAAACCAATACTTCATTGAAAATAGTTTTGAAATACAAGAACATAACTTCCAAGTACACCAAAGAATACAATTCTTGATCTATTTAGCTTTGAAAAGTTCAAATGGGAGCCAAAAACATACAAAATAATGCTTAACACATCCTGAAACTAATCAACAGAAATATGCTTGCTGAATTGCTATGTGAAGGAAAGGCAACAGATGACAATTGTTAAGTATACGCTGCAATCCATTAATACTGCATCAATCACCTTCTTCGCTACCAATCCTACCTCCAAAGTCTTGCTTAATTGCTCAGCCCAATTATAGTCATCTGTGGAAGCGTTCTTGTTCTCTTCGCTAATAGCTCTTCCAGAACCTCCATGATCATGAAAAAGTAGTCGTGCAATCACCACTGTTAAATCGGTCAGTAAAATGAAGTAAAGAGGCCTAAAGCTAATAATGCTCCACAAGAATCTGTTTTCTAGAAGAGGAAATCCCAAATGTGACAATACAACTAAAATAGCCATAATTACGGAACATAAGAGGCGTGTGTTCTCAGATGCATCAATAGCAGAACTTATTTGCCTATGGGTGAAAAAGTTATGTTGTCGTGCCCGTGTTTCTGAATGCTGAGCCACCCCTGAAGTAGAAATAAATGAACTTTGATCATCCAATGGAACCGGCAATGGATTTACTTCACCACTTGCATCCAAGGCAGGATCTTTTGAAGGCTCAATGCCTATCCCGCCTCTGTGCGATATCGATCCCTCACCAATTCCACCATTATATGCACTGGTCTGACTCTGATCAGCATCAAAACTAAGATCATGTTTTAGCAATACAGGACTAGATGCTTTCTCATGGACATCAGGAGAAACTGCATATGAATAAAAATTCAAAAGAAACATGGAATCTATCAACAAAACCTTTGGTATTAGTATCTTTCAAGCTTTTGTTCGTTATTTCAGTGAATTGGTTGACACCACGAAGAATATTTAATGGCGCATACAACGAGCAAGTCGAAAGCTTTTAAGAACTCAAAAAGTTAAGCCTGGGATGACACTTCCACTAACTTTCCCAAATGCAGAAATTTTCTACCTTTGTAATTCAATTGCAAGGATTCAACTAAACCTTTATCCTTAATTGACCCCTCTAATTATCAAGACATGATAGACTGAAACAGCCCTTGAAAAGTTATTTAAATTGGAATAGAGGGAGGGAGAAGAAGAAGACTACCTGCGGGTTGACTTGAGAAGTTGGGTGGTGGATCTTGGCCGTGGGGAACCAACGGCGGAGGAGGGTTGCTGTCGGTTTGGTCATGAGATTGAGGAGGCAGGTTTTGGACTTGACCCGTAATAAAAGCCAAGCGGTCGGATCCTCTTTCAAGGATTTTCCTACGCCGACTTTCTCTGGTGCTTGTTGCCATGTTGACAATAGATCTTCGTTTCAGAAAAATGGCTGTTGTCTGTTGAAATTAATATAAGCAGAGCCGGAACCATAAAAAATTTTGAGACCACCAAAGACCAAGGAAAGAAATTGGGTATGCTAAGGCTATAATTGGGCGGCTATGTTTTGATGTGGATATGACATTTGGGTCAAATTTTGGGCTTCGGTTTGTGGTGGATTGAAAGGATGTTTTGACTTTTGAGCCTCTTTCATTCATCAATGGGCCAACAACAAAAATTGTGTGCGTTTTGAGCTTCGAACCTAACTAAAGTCAGATTTAAGAAAATGTCAGAAGTGGGATTTGAACCCACGCCCTCTTTCGAGGACCAGAACTTGAGTCTGGCGCCTTAGACCACTCGGCCATCCTGACTTGTTTTGTTGAACAAACAAAATAAAAAATAAAGTCAATTAAATGGGCAAAACCCCAGACGAAGCTAGACGAATAGTATAGGATTGATTTCGACAGAAGAGAGGCTTAGAAGATAAAGTATGCGATTGGATAGCCTAAGTGCCAAACTACATAGAGCTAGTAGAATAGAATAGGATAGACTATCCGTTTCATACCAGTCAACCACGTTTCTGGGAAATTTTCATTTGAGCAATTTTTCTTACAAATGCGAAAAGTTTCAAAAGGATGCTTGGCAAGTGAAATGGGGTTGAACTAAATTCAAGAACCATCGTTCTCATAAATTACATCCCAAAACCAATATGGACAACGCTTGCCACTTCCCAAAGATAAAAAAGAACATCCTTGCTGCTACAAAAAGTGTTTGAAGGAGAACCACTTTGATTATATCCGTTGTCCCCTGACTTAAATAGTTGGTTAATTATGAAACTTTTAGCTGTCACTGACCTCAACTAGAACAGCATCTCTTGGCAAGTTTTCAGTTCCTGATCCCCCGCTGTTTGTATGATCTAACAAGATATCATCCTCTGAATCAGGCACAACAGTGTCAAGGGCAGAGTTAATGACTGGCCTTTGCCTCAACCTATTCTTTGTGCCCATGTTTCCAGTTCCCATAGCAGGACGGATCGCATATCCAGCCAATCTCTTACTCCTGCGTGATCCCATCGACATTTCTTTCTCAGGGTTTTCATCAACCAAAATTTCCTCTTCATCTGCAGAATTGCCTGAATTGCTACCGTTGTAGTCATCAGCATCCTTTCTGTTACTATAGTCATCATCATCCTCATTACCATCACTACCAGCTTCTTGAAGCTTGTCATCTTCAGTGTCACTACCCGTAGAGTTATCTTTCCCGTATGAACTGCCTTTAGAGACTGAGCCCTCCACATCTGACCCTTCATTGGAGGCAAACGTTTGTCTTGCAAGCTTCTGTCCATGCCTTTGATCCTCATCGGTCTTCCTTCTCCTGTATCAGAAATTGAAGTCACAACCAATAAATGGTTAAACCATCAAAGAGAAACACTTGGACCAAATTGGCCGTATCGTGTAACCTCCCTTCTGAAGAGGTAATTCTGAAGGGCTATTTCAGTTGAATTAGAAGTAAATGTAAATTTTTAATAGTAATTTCAGTTGAACTGGAACCACAACCATACACAAACAAGCATACATTGAGCAAATAACACAAGTCCAGAAAAGGGCAGCAGACATTAGTGCCGACTAACCGCAGTTTAACAGTTCTCCCAACAAAATAAATAAATCAGTTCTTGTGTTTATAGAACCTATTATTTGCAAATTTTACAGAAGTAGAATAAAAATGAGAGTACATATCTTATTAACCCAGACAGAAAAGACCTGATACGTACTTTTCCACAATGAATCTACTAATATATATAACAATTTCATGTGATAATTAGTAAAGGATATTTATGCACATACAAAAAAGTACATCTTTGAAGTGCAAATGATTAAATCAATAAAGATAGTTAAGAGGATGAAGATAAACAATCAATGTAACTAGGTTAAACAAATCTTACTTTGTTAGTTCTATAGCCTCGTCAATAGCACGGTCATATTCATCTGCATAATTATAAACCCATCATAAGTCAACCAATATGAATTTGATAAAAAAAAAAAAATGCTACAGTAGCAGGACTAACATTAGTGAACTAATCTGGAGCAAAATTAGAGCAGAACAATAGCAAGACTTGACTGCATCTGATTGACCAGCCTAAGTCTTTAAGTTTACAGAGGATGGGAACTAAAAGCCTTTGTTTTTCCTTTTATAACATTGGTAGAACATAAATTCTACTTAAAACAACTATATCTAAACACATGTTAGGACTTTCATCATTTCCAATCACCCAACATGCAAGTGAAGTTATCAACTTGGCCTTTCCAGTCTACATGCTGTAATGATGCATTTAAACTAAACAAAAATAGAACCACTTACATAGGTTTATAGTTAAAAGTTGAAATTTATGGAGCAACTATGACAAATCATTGGATTATAACAATTGTAGGAGAGAAGTTTCCATCGTACCAAATGTGTAACTGATTGGCCTACGATTGCGACATGAACGGGTAATCCCAGTATCATAGGACCTTCTCAAGCCATTCAGGAGCATCTCTTGCCTTTTCTTCTGTTTCAGTGCCCTGTCATTCTTCTATACAAGACGATAAAGTTAGTGAGGTTACCAAGGGATACAACAAATAAAACAGAAGCACATGAAAAGTGTGCTACACAAAGATTATACCAGAGGATAAAAGAAGACTTGTCAACCTTACCTTTTTAAATTTCTCCACAACAGGAATGATATCATTATTAATAGTCTTGCCAATAGCAACTTCTGCTGCAATCTTGCTAGCCAAGAGTTTATCCTACAATTTACAGCAAGAAAGCAAAAGGGACTTAACATTTCATGTTGAGAGAACAAACAAATATTGTGACATGTGAACTTACCACAACTTCACAGAATCCCTCGAAATCCACTGCAAGTGTTTCCCAGTGATAACTGACAGTTGGTAATGTTAAACATGCTTTCCCCTTTGCTTTTGTTTGAGGCTCAGTCCTGTTTACTTCCCTGTATAATCTATAACCAAAAACTGTATTTCCATCATACCTACAATAAAAAAAGAGAATTTATCAGTACCAATCACACAACAGATTTTACAAAATCCAGAACCGGGGGTAAACACTTACCAGTATGAAACATTTCCATTCCCCCCTAACTTCTTTTTTCGGAAGCAAGAAATTTCCTTACTACTTTTCAGAGTATCATTAATATATGACACTGCATCAAGTTGCTGTAGAATAATAGAATCCATTAAACAAAAGTTAAAATGGAATAGAATTACCACAACCAACATAACATTCATCTCGAAACTTTCTTTGCTTAAACAAAATTGGACATTGATTATGGGATGTTACAAACAAACCACTCTAAATACTGCATGGAAGAACATGATGACAGAAAGAGACATAAAATCAACAATTTCAGTTAAAGCAACACAGAATTCAAAGGGATGATAAATTACATCTGCCCGAATTTCACAGAGTGCTTTTAGGAGCAGCAAGCGACTTATTGGGTCAAGTTCTTTGTATCTGGATATCTCCCCTCTGCAAAACAACAAAGTGACAAAGCAATACAACCTCATTAAAAAGTTTGACTTGGCATCAATGATAAAGTGTGAATTTATTCGTTAAAACAATGAGAATATTGTCATTAATACCCATTGCAAGCAGTGAGTGGAATCTCTCCTTCAGCAACCTGTGGCAATAGAAAATAAGACGAATGAGTAAAAAACTCACAAAGACATCCAGGCTACTGTAAAGGCGGGCATATTCAATAGCAAAATTTTGCCTCACCCATGGCCACCACATTGCAAGTTTCTTGCAAAGTGCAGTCACCCATGCATCTGAACGATTCAACAATTTACTCACAGGTGGTGTCCCCTGCCAACAAACAATTCCATATAAGACATCTTAAAGAGATAAAACCCCCAAACAAGAAACTATTTATAAGAACAATAATCTGACAAAATCAGAGAGTAAATCAATAGCTTCACAATTGCAAACAAAAGCAAATCTATTACGTAAGTTAATCAGTTAGTTCCAAAGGCATTACCACAATCAAGCTTTTAATGCTACAGTAAAATATTTCCGTAAGGCTCAAGCCTCAATGTAATCATATATTAGATTCATAGCATCAAATAATGTTTTAGGACAAGCGTTAAAACAAGAGTTTAATATGAAAATTAACTTATTAATCTCAGTATATCAAATGATAAGAAGAATAACGGAACCTTCAAAAGTTTGATATGAAGAGCAGCAATTGAGGCATTAGGTTTAACAAGCCCTAACTCGATCTCTTCCACTGTTAACTTCAAATCATTCCCGATCACAGGCTCAAAAACCTGTCAAAACGCACCATCATTTTCAAACACTAACTCTGTTCCCTCATGTCATGATCTACGGTGAAATGTTGCATTTCTGAAAAAAAAAGAAAAAGAAAAAGAAAACGAAGGATCGCTTTTACATTAAGGAAGTTGAGAACCGAGGCGAGTTCCCATCTGCCACGTAGCTTCTTGACCTCCGACTGGCAAGACGAATTGTCCAAAATCAGGACTGGGTCATTTCGGGTTTCCTTGCCTTCCACCGATAGCATTGCTTCGCCAACGACTTTTCTCGGTAACGTAGTCGGTTTTCGGCGATCAACGACCATTCCTAGAGAGAGAAAACGAAGATTAAAGATTCACAGAAGCAATGGCTCGTTAGAGGGACAGGCTTGACGTTATTGAAAGAGCAAGGGAGGGTAAAATTTTGGGATTTTCCCGCCTAAATGGATTTTAACGTCATTGCGTGGTAAGGTTTAATTTTTTCTTGGACTGTCTTTTCAAAATTTACCCGGTCATGATTACTCTCGGACTCTAGTCTCTAGGCCCTAGCCTCTCTTCTGATATTCCATTACACCAAACGCAACGTTTTGCATGCCACCTTGCAAATTAGCTACTTTTGCACAAGCGGTGTCGTTTCTGCAACCTATCCAACAGACATTTTTGAAAATAATAATTTCTAGCTTCACTTGCCGTTTATGAGTAAGGAGTAAAACGGGCGTCTATGGGCAGGTTAGGCCCGTTGATACCTTGTAAAACTCAAGTTTGGTTTTGAGTACGACTCAATCCAATTCGCCTATTCAAATTATGTTTATTATTAAAAAATAAATATTTTATATTAATAGTTTTAAATATAGTTTTTAAAATAAAATTTAATAAAAAATATATTGCTTATTAAAATAATAACATTTTTATGCCAAACTTAAAATTCATGTTCACGACCCAATACAAGTCAAACCCACTCACGGGCCTAGTCAACTCAATTTACTTATAGCCCATGGGCCATTTGGTGGAGCCGTCCGTTGTAATAACTGGACTGTAAAATGTGTCAAAAATCAAAAGTTAAAAGATCTTTTTTTCTAATATACAAAAAAAAAAATTAAATTGCATGTCTTCAACTGTAGACGTTTCCAAGTCAGCTACTGCTCGCATCAAGTGATTTCTGTTCTGTAACCATCCCCTTCAAAGTGAGGCCATGAATTGTGAATTCAAATTCTTGCAGTAGGGAAGACAAGTTAGCAACCATGTCGACATGAAGTAGCAGAACAGAACCTTTCTCTAGCAACAAGTTACATGTACTGAGATAGCCATTGTTTACACAGATCAAGGACCGGAAGAGCATTCGCATGTAAAGCCTGAAAGGTAATTGGAGAACAACACAAATTTCTCATTAGCTGGCGTGCCTAAAAGCATTCAATCTAATAGGAAATTAAGATTACATAGCACGACTAGCCTTTATGAATTGTATGCACAAAAAGTTTTATTCTACTCTTAAATAGTATCATTCTGGATTGACAAAGGGAGAGAGTGTATCATCTCATAAAATTCAGGTAGCCAAGGCACATTACGTGTTAACTGGTTGAGGTCTTATGCTTTGCTTTTAACTAGAAGCAGGATAAAGATAAAACCTCAATTAACTCGGTGCTTTCAAAAGTAAAGTGATGTTTCTAGTCAAGGTCTCAAGGAAGTACTTTCATGCTTTCAGTTATCCAGCGGGCAGAACTATGAACCACACTCCGGCTGGTAATAATTGAGTGACTCTTCTAGGTAATTAGATTAAGGCGTTCATTAAGCTAAACTTCTTTTTTGCCTTTGCCACATGAAGGGGGCACAGGATACCACTGGGAAATCAGCTGAAGAATTATCACAGTTTAACTCCAAAGAACTATGACTCATAAATTGGACACTGGAAAAAAGCTAAGAAGAACAACCTGATGTGCAACATACTGGACATCAGCCACACTTCCACTTCGAGAAGCAATCTGGAAGGCACTTTTTAGGCGGCCACAAACAACACATGCCAGCACCTTCCTGCAAAAATGAGTTAAGAACAGAAGCACACACAGAAGGCATAAAAGTATATGATCGTGTTTTAGAAACTGATATAAACATAAATAATGTAATCCAAAGGCTGCTAAACGCAAACTATAAAACATATTCACCAAAACTTGCAGCAGAAAATGCAAATATGAATATTTCAAATTTTACTGAAAAATAACTAAAGATGAATCCTTGTCCCATTCAATGGCTAATCCCCAATTCGAAGTCTTCTATTGCTCAGTAGTTGCTGCGAGAAAAAGTTATCAATATAACAGCAAAAAATAATAGGAGTGAGGCACACACTGTAAGTATTCACCATCTATCAACTAAGTCAGATTTCATCTTGATAAACTTGTGACAAGTAACCTGTAAAACCTATGGCATTTTTCAGCCACAATTTGCATGCATTTCCCTAAATGGTACACTTGGTCTAAGGACATAACCTGAATGGATTTTGGTATCAGGTTGCCCTCACCCCATTCAACTGATCACTTAAATTCATGAGCCAAACAGGCTTTATTCTTTCAAGTGAAGGAGATAGAAAACAGGACTAGTTGGATATATATAGCATTCATGAATCTATTCCAAAAATACAGATTGACTAGCTCAGTAGTAAAAGATTGGATTGTCAGGTAAATGTCCTTAGAGCAGTCAACTTTTAGAATTTTTTATAGTTAGACTACCTAGCTAGCTAGTTCACCCATCCAAGGACCGAAAACAGTAGCTTTACCTAAATGAATATCTACCATGTATAACCTATTGTTCCTAAAAGAAAAACATGAAAATAAAAACTATGAAATACAGAAATAATCCAAACAACTTACCTATGACTGCTGGTTAGCATGTCTATGAGTCGGTCAGGGCGTTCCTTGTGTCTGTTAGCATACACATTAATAGCAGCCCCTAATACCTACAAAATTCCAAAAGTACAAGATTAGTCATTTGTGAAACAAAGGAATCTTGCTCTAAATAGGGGGAGTCTATACTCTGGCTGCTTCACTTGATTGCTTATTTCATTTTAACGAGAAAAGTATCAAATATACTGAAAACAATCATCATTGAGCTCAATCTGATTAAACTTGTTCCATTTAATGGACTGGATGGCATCTTTGTTTCAGGTAGACTATTTAATAAAACATACAAGTTATTAGCTGAACTCAGACAAAGAAGCTAACATGCAACCATTTAATGAATCAAGAATACAAATAAACAGAGCATGCTTTGACGCCTTGGCAAGTTTATTTAATATTTTCGACTGTATAGAGTATATGCAGTCCAAGCAAGTTCGTCTCAGTGACTTGTAGACCAAGAGATGCTAGTAGAACCCTCTTCACCTAAAGTTTCACTTTACAGCATCAGCACAAGTTAATTGGTAAGAGAAAGAGAGTTTGTTCATAAATGCACTTTTGTGCCTTTGATGTGTAACTATAGCCGTTGGTGTCCATGCACAAAGTTCTTAATTATTGAGCTCATTGCATAAAACTTAACAAAGTCTAACATTGTATTCAATTAAAAATTTTCTTTTGGTAAGGATCCACTCAAAACTATCAGAATATACCTTCCAAAGGTGTTAGCCCTCTGTTAAGTACAAATATATTGACTACATCACACCAAAAGAAAGCAGTTACCTGGTCCCAATCATCATCGTCAATTGTTCCTTTAATGTTTCTGAAAAATTCGGTCAACTGGCTGCCCTTTTTTCTTTCAGCAAGTGATGCAGCAACACCCGCATATATGTCAACAGCTGCAAGGCATTGAGAACACTTCAAATGTTAAAGCACAGCCACATTAACTTAAATCTTTAAGAACTTGACAAAAAGGAAACAAATATGTCACCACCTGGAAGATTAAATTCATATATAACTTGGAATGCCAAATCAAAGTTCCTCTCAACAAGAGTTTCAGCAATCTCGCACCTCCTCCTAAAAGGCAGCAAGCACAACAAACCAGTCAACATTGTCATTAAATTGTCAAGGTGCGCCCCACTGACAATGGATCCATACACAGAGAGCAAAACAGTCAGAACCATAGAATTCTAAGCAGGATATAGCATCCTCATGTGGATACTCGATGAGTGTAATTAATATAGTAACCAACTTATCAGATGGATACCAGCAACTACAAAAGTTTCATTGAGACTTGATTAACTTCAGCATTACATGTTGACAACAGATGTTCCACCACTGTTAGCAATTCTTTCACAAATTTCTAATTACTAAATGTTGAATTAAATTTTTATCCAAATCATAATAAAGATTACAAAAGCCTCTTCTCTTTATGCATTATTTTTTAACTTAAAATTTCTTCAAAAAGATGCTAATAAAAGCTTCAATTAATATACAGTGGTGATCTGATAATATATTTAAACTAACTGTATTTTCTCATTCCTAATAAATAATACATAACTACTGTGGCGTCCCAATTACATCAGGAGCTAATCATGGTTGCCTAGTTGTTGACCAACTATTCCAACAAGTGGAAACATCAGAAAAATCTTTTTACTACTCTGATGTCTAAACATAATTAAAGATGACAAAACCTGAAGGTTTCTAGATCATTTGGATTTCCAAAAAGTGAATGTCTCCACTGTCGTCCATCTGAGTCATTAAAGGTTTTCACAACTTCCACCTGCAAAGCCCAACAAATATGAATTAAAGTTGAGATATAACAATAAGAGTGACATTAAATGAAATCAATTGGAGCTCAAATTTATTCTTTGAAATCCAGTTTTAATCAAATACATTATTTAATCAACATCCAGTTTTAATCAAATACATCGAAGCTACTTAGATGGCAACAAATATGTTACTTTCACACGTTCATACAGAGTGTTGCACGAAGGATTGTCTAAAAACCATAAGAGCAACATTAGACAACTATTTAGAACTGCATCTCAATTATTAAACATAAAACTACAACAGAAACTAGTCTTGCAGCAGATGGCAACTTTATGGATGTTGCAAGGACTTATTCATGCATTCAAAACACAAGTTTGATATCTGGAAAAAGATTCTTTGTCCGCATTCATAAATTTACAGCATAAACTTCATTTCACATTGGTTTTCATATTCTATATTTCAAACGTTTTGGTGTGGGCTGAGATGGGTTTTCAGTACAACACAAGGTAGTGATATGTGCATTCAGACTTTCAGCAAAAATACCAGTCACTGATACACCTATAAACATGTGAATACCACACCATCTCCTTGTCCGTATTTATGGAGGATTCTATTGTTTGTCCCACAATTTCAAAATTTACTTGGAAACTTTTTCTTCACTGTGGGAACTAATCTTTTTATTAATCAAGAATATGCGCATCAAATTCTTTCCAAGAAGCAAAAGCCTTAATACCTTTACTACAAGCAGAATATCTTTTCTGGATACGTCATTACCTGAATTGACACTCTAGCTGAAAACTTGACAAGCCCTTCTTCTGTAAGCTTCTCAGAGGCAGTTTTTCCTCTGACACCCTTTGTGACAAGCTTGGTAGATTCTCCACCTTTGTATCGTGCTGATAAGCCCTCATCAAAATGCATCTTTAACAAATGGAAGGACAAGCAGCAGCAGAGCATTTAGAAGATATTCAGTTTCATGTGATTTTGTACGTAGAACTAGCCTTACTAACACCTAAGATATCTACATGGTTGATAATTCGTACATTTTTAACATTAAGTATATTGCTATCATAGTGTACTTTTTGGAGCATCTTTCCCCTTTTTTTTTTTTGGGGATAATT